GTACCCTTCCTATCGGATCAAGCTCTGCACTCGCTGTCTTTATGTGTAAACGAATCGACATCTCGAGTCAAACACCAACTTCCAAAGTGTTGGCCGCATTTGCCTTCGTGTATTCGTCAATGAGCGACCGAGAGTAATATCTGCGCATTGAAAAAACACCTCTGAAAGCACATCGCCATCTCGAGAAACCCGTGCTTTCTTGCCAAAATCAGAGAATCGCATTTGTGTTTTGTGCATCAATCAGGGCGCGCTTGAAGCTGATTACTACTACTTGTGGCGGCCCTCTTGCAACCTACAACACGCAACAACGCGCAGCCACCACACCCAACCAGACACCGTATCGCGTCGCTCTACCGTTCGCAACCAATCTTCGAGTCTCTTTTTCTAAATACTGCGTAGAGGGACAGCAACGTTACAGTACATGGCAACGGCTTTGTCGGAAACGTTAGCTCGGAGAAGGCGTGCAAAAGAGTTGACATGCGCAAACGGCAGAGGTCCTGTTCGTGATCATTGTCGTTTCCACCGTCACACTGCGCATCACAGTCATTCTCGTTAGCCTCCTGCCAACGCACCATGACTGAGCGATGGTCGCTCAGGCATGTTGCTATGATTACAACTTGATCCCAGAAAGTACAATGATAACTGTCTCTCTCATCACCTCCCAGTGGGAGTTCTATTGCGTGCTCTAAATAAAAGTGAAGTTTCTGCTTTCCAGTGATTGATCAAGACTGAACTCATTACGGACAAACGGATGGAACTGACTCATGGCACGATGAATGGGTTTATCGAACGCATTATGTCGAACAAAGTTTGTTGTTTCGTAATACTGCATCCTGTTATGGTGTTACAACAATCTCGGGGGGGGGGGGGATCAAGGTGAAGCAGCAGGATCAGTTGTCAGCGCGGTCCGTATGGCACGTACAAAATGCATTTCAAGGATAAGTATGCTTGAAATTGAGAGAAACCCAAACCCACACGACAGGCGCAGTCATGGAACAAACAAGGCCCGAACATATTCTTTTGTACCATGCATTCAGGTCACTGTGCTCTTCTTCCCATCCTTATTTGTTTCACGGCCACTGCGCAATGTCTCATTCTAGCGAATTGTCCGGTAAGTTTTTCACATGTTGCTGTTTGAAGCCACTGCAGAAAGGTCCTGATTCGAATTACCCGTGATTGTGCTCTGTCCTTAGTTTCTCAACCGGTTTCGCGTTGCTGAACGATAAAAATAGCCAAGTTGACATAAGTAAGTACACCTATCAGATGCAAGCCGGCTGGTTGCAAGCAATGCCCTCGGTCTCGCTCACGTGCTTATCTGAAATGTTCTTTCCGACAGGCTCGCTTGCACGTAATTAAGCTTTCGGATAGTATATTGGCGCCGATCACTAGCGCTCACGTAGGGGTGCCGACCATGCAAAACTAGATCCCCCGCGCGTCGAGGACGGAAAAGAACGAGATCTGCACAGAAATCAAGAAAAAGTGACGACTACAGTAGGCACTGATCAGCTGTCTCTTCAGATACCCCATATGGCTCTTTATCACAAGACCTCCAAGCAGGCTGGGCGTTGTGGGCTTTCTCTTTCTTTGCGGAATCGAAACATGACAAAGCACCGAGACTTATGTCACCGAATTCGCCGGCACTTCTTCCTAGTCCTGGTAGTAGCGTTCCAGGTCATTCTCCCGTGAAAGGGGCTGCAACCCAGCCCTTAATATTGCGAGCAAAGGCTGACATGTGAGGGAATAAACATACGCTTGTGTTTATATTTGCTGCGCGATATGTAACCGAGAGGAAGGACAATTCTAGTGTGTTGATGATGATTTTCAGAATCATAAGTACGCTGTTTACGTACGTACTATTCCGCATGTACCGGATTGAACCTAGGAAACAGATACACATCTTCCATACGCATCTTTACTGTATGAAATCTGTTTTTTACGATACCAAGTTTCCATTATGCGCGTCCATCTACCGACAGGTATCGGTGATGTTACTGCCGTGGCGTGATAGGAGAGGACACGGAACGCGAAACGTTGATAGATAATAATCAGCCGGTAACCCATACACAACTGCCTGCCATAGGTCTATCAAGCAGCGTGTATGGGTAGACCCAGTCCGAAAAACGTGCACTGGAGCATAGTGTGATGCCTAACTCTGTTCGTCCCGTCTGACGCACGGAGATTACCTTGCGTTACGAACCGGGCCGATAGCCTCTTATCCAGTCGAACGCGGGGTACCCCAGGGGGGCAATAGTATAACTGGAGCCCTGTAGAACCGTGGTCGCCACTCCTTAAGGCTTGTTGCGCCTACTTGTTCTCTGTCGAGTCAGAGATCATGGGTTCATCATCAGAAAGCGAAACCAAAATGGTCCCCATGACCGTGGATGATGGACGCGACGGACGCTTCCACGTCGAAGTTGGCACTATGGAACGCCCTCGTTCTAAGATGGCGACATTTTATCGCAGCGTCTTGTTCCAGATGATTTTGTTCGGAATGTAAGTGCCAAATCACCACCACACAAAAATGACTAGCTGAGTCGTGGTCAAGGCTGTCCCTGGTTGGACCAGCAATGTCGGATGCTATCACAAATCTGGGCGGCGGTGGATTGTCGACTCCTTGGCTTGCGAATCTCGGTCAATCGTTGAGTTACACGATGAGCTTCTTCAGCACAATTCTTGGAGGTCCCATTATCAACAAGATTGGTGTCAAGTGGGCGTCTTTGATCGCAGCCGTAGCCATGCCGCTCCATGGATCTGCCTACTACGTGAATGCTAGATACAAGAACAATGCGTATCTGCTTTCAGCCAGCGTATGTTCAAACTCTGAGTGCGTAGAAGCTCTGCTTACGCGAACAGTTAATCAAAGGGTTTGCGTCTGGTTTCCTCTACGTTGCTGAAACGACAGCTATGTTGTCCTACCCACATCCAGAAGAACGAGGGTTTTACTTGGGTACGAATGACCTACTGGGCATATGAGTTTGACGCTGATAGAGCATAGGTATCTGGTCCGCAATGCGAAATAGTGGCAGCGTGATTGGAGGGGCCATCAACTTCTCAAACAATCATAAAGACTCCGATGCAGGAGGAGTTGCATGGTCTACATACTTGATCTTTGTTGGTTTGGGTATGTCAAAGTCTCTGGTGTGATTGCAGAGGTACTGATTATGATTAGAATGCACTGGCCTTGTATGGGCTCTTCTGCTCTCACGGACCACGAAGGTCCGTCGCAGAGACAACAGCAAAGTGAACATTGCTCCAGCGGAGTCCTGGATGAAGGAGCTCAGGGCTCTAGCCACCTATCTGCAGCAAGGAACTGTAAGTGAAATCTGGTTCTCTCAGACATCGCAAGTTAATTTCCGCATCAGACATGGCTTATTTTTGTTCCCGCCTTTTACTCTTTCTTCTATGGAGGTACCATGGGCACCTATCTGTCGCTTCACTTTTCCGTGCGTGCGCGTGCTCTGTCTTCCTTCCTAGTCCGTAAGTACCTCTCCATCATTGATCTTTCGTTTTCATACCAACAATTGCAGCCACCCTCACTATTCCAACTGTCATATTATTCGGAAAGCTTCTAGATACCACTCGTTGGACACAGCGGACCCGAGCATGGACTGCAATGGCAGTATGGGGAATACTACAGGCCGCTTGCTTCATCTGGGTTGCGGTAGAATACCATACTCTACCCAAAAAGACTGCTCTTGACTACAGACTGTAAGCCACAAGACCTCTGTTTATTGGAATTAACACTAATTGCAACAGGCAACCCGCCGGATGGATCAGAGCCTATTTCCCTTATATCATGCTCTTCATCAGCGGATACTGGACTCAGCTTACCCTTTACTGGATCCTCAGTACCCTTTCCGATGAAGTCGCCGTGGCTTCACGAGCAGGAGGTGTATTCCGTGCTTTTGAAGTTGCGGGTCAAGCAGTGTCGTACGGATTGAGTTCAGCAAAGAAGATCGACCACGCCATACCGCTCTATGTCAACATCGCCATTCTAGTCTTTACGATCCCGAGTATGTCCATGTTGATCAGGAAGATGCCAAAGAGGCCGGTCAGAGAAGCTATCATAGAAGATGACGGGAAGGATGACGATCTTGTGTTTGATGGCTGGGCGAAACCGAATTGAAGAAGGGTGCATGTCGACGGGTCATGTACATAGCATGAAACGTAGTTCATAGCCGAGTGGTATTAGAATGTTTATATTTGATTGGTGCATAACGATTGTTTTTCGACGGGAATGGCCCCATGTATAGGCACCAAGCAGCGATGCAGCTACTACTACAAGTGCTACCCACTTAACAGTTTCCAAGGCAATCGCATTACTCACAGATATTTTCCATTATTTTTGTTTTTGGTGAGGGTAGAGGCAAATACTCAAAGTTTGTTCATTGCACTGTCAGGTTGCCCAGAAGCAGCAAATGCCATGCTGGCGAGAGTGGTAGTGAAGGAGAGGAGAAAGTGCTTTCTATCTTTGGGATTCGAAATCGAAATTCTCATTGCAAACGATCATATGGCAGGATGCCAGACGAATTGTGGTCAAGTATTGACTGGCATTGAATACATCTACTACATATAGTCAAACAGCCACAATCCCAAGCAACACTTCTCTCCAAGCTTTTGGCTGTGAACCTCGCACAGTCGCTACTTACGAACAATACATGCTGTGCAAACTCTGCAATCTATGGATGAGTAATCTTTGATCCCCATTCCAAATGCTATCGTCATCACTCTGTTGATCACTAGCATCGCAGAAGCCAAGTTGTAAAGGTTGTCAATGTCCGACCCGCACCGGCAATCGCCTGATAACCTCTAAGAACGCCCCAACGTCGCTGGCCAAACGCCGGGCCGGTCCCGCAAAAAAAAAGCCATCGAATCACATCACGCAGCCCGCCCGGTTAAAGGTCAACATGGTACATCGCCTGCTACGATATCTGCGCAGCCAGCCAAGGTACCAGACGTTACCATAATTTAACAAACCCCTTCTCCCCCTAAAGCCCATCATGTCATCATCTTCTCAGCGCATTCCCAATAGCCAATTTCCCGTGCCCAATTCCCTGCCATCTTATTGGCGGAAACAGCCTGCTGCAATCGATAATCATCGCAGTACCACCGACCTCGTTAGTGCGGCAGACATTGTAGTCATTGGCGCTGGTTACTCTGGCGCATCCATTGTACATCACCTGGCGGAAGAAAGTTTGCGCGCTGGCAAGGCTACTCCTTCCATAGTAATTCTCGAGGCGCGCGAGGCTTGTTCAGGGGCTACGGGGCGAAATGGTATGTACCATGTATATTGAACGATGTTGAGAAATATAAAAGGCCTTATGGGAGGTTGCTGATAAACGTTGCACGTCCAGGTGGCCATCTGAAACCAGATCCTCTGTTGCGACCAGCCGGGCTGTTAGATAGTCATGGCGCAGCCGTCGCAGAGCATGTGGCATCATTTGAGCAACGTCAGGTCGCCGCCATCAAGGAACTCGTCGAGCGTGAGCGAATTGACTGCGACTTTGAAGAGACGACTGTCATGGATATTTGCAAGTATGCCCAAGGACGGGATAAGATGAAGGCTAGTATCGACAAGGTTACTAAAGCGGGTATTTCCACTGCGAAGATGATAAGATTTTATACGGGCAGGGAGGCCGAAGAGGTTCGTGCTTTTTTTTTTTGAGACATGATGCCGGAGGTATAAGCAAGACGTTTTCGGTGCTGACCGCCTAAATAGGTCTCTGGTGTGCGAGGAGCACTGTCATGTCATACATACAGCGGTGCACGTCTCGCACCCTACCGTTTGGTGACGCATCTTCTGCAGAAAGCCGTAAATCAAGGGGTCAACCTGCAAACTTTCACGCCCGTCGAGAGTGTCCGGGCTATCGAGAATGACGCGCAAGGCTTCAAATGGGCCGTTGATACTTGCCGCGGAACAGTCAAGACGAAAACAGTGATCTTTGCTACAAATGGATACACATCTGCCCTGGTGCCCGAGATGAAAGGCAAGATTGTACCGGTGAGGGGCATGGTAGCACACATTACAGCACCAAATGCGCCGCAGCTGAAGCACAGCTATATGATGCGGTTATCAGATTTCGAGTACGATTACATGATTCCGCGACCAGACGACAGTGTCGTAGTGGGTGGTGGACGGCGGGATTTTTACAAGAACTTGGATGATTGGTTTGATGTGGTTGATGATAGCAAGTTGATTGATGCTGGAAAAGAGTACTACGATGGGTACATGCAGCGGCATTTTCCTGCATGGGAGAACAGCGGTGCTTGCACGCAATATTTGTGGACTGGGAGTAAGTAATATTGCGCGCGCAGTGACTATGAAAATTTTTGATTAACTTGTTCATTACAACAGTCATGGGCTATTCCAACGACGAGTTTCCGTATGTCGGCCCAGCCTGCGGACGACCGGGTCAGTACGTTTGCGCTGGTTTCACGGGTCATGGCATGCCTCAGATTTTCCTATCAGCGAAAGCAGTAGCGGTGATGGCTCTCACGGGAGATACGGAGAATGTTGATTTGCCTTTGCCATATCGCATTACTCCAGAGAGATGGTCTGAGCAAAACGAGCATGCGGCTCGTGAGACGTGGGAACGAGTTCAAAAAAATCAGCCTGTGCTGGCAGCAAAACTGTAGACGGACAGCAGGTTTATATACTCTCGATGAAAACAAATACATTTGCTTAACATGCCAGTATGGTCGTTACTTGCGTAAGAGAATTCATATTCGTTCATTATTGCAGCCTAAAGGCTATGCCGTGGCACCCCATTTAGCAAATTCTCAAACAATTCACTTTCCACGTTGCCGCTGTTGTTGACACCCGAGGCAAAGAAAGCAATGTTCCCATCCATATTGAAGAGGTCAAGATTAAAGGGATATTCATCGACAGGGCGACTTTCTTGAACGCACTCTGTTGGTGTTTCCATGTCATGGGGAGCAGGTTGTGGGCAAAGCGGAACGGCCTGGGTCCTCATACCTGACCCATCACTGGCCATTGGTATCGACGAACTAGCACGGGAACGGATAGCGCCAGCTGTTTTGGTATACCAATCCCGTAAACCCTCATAACCACCCTGGACTGTCTCTTCCCCAGTGTCAGATACACTCTGGTCGCAGTCTACGTCAAAAGCTTGAAGCCGATTCAGCGCGGCTTCCAGGGTCTCGAGAAGCAATACCTCTGAACGCGCGGAGTCACCCACTGAAGCCATTTCCCGTATCGCGTTGAGGCCCTTTTGTAGGTTGTCTGAGAATTCATTGGTGCGACGGCAAATACTATACGCGATTAGGACCAGGAGTGATGCACGACAGGCACTGTATTCGGCATAGGACGCTTTTGAGAGACCCATACTACCCCTCTGCATGCCATGACAGATGTCGATGACTTCGTTTGCAGCTGCGATACAATCTTCGATCAGGAAGTTCCAGCGCATATGTGGGGGAGTGGGCGTAGTTTCAGGTTTTCCTTCCGGATGCTCTGCGGTATTGTCGTCTTTTGGGTCTCCTTTTCGCACCTGGCGATGGGCCAAAATGAAAGGTCGTCCAATAAACATGTGTAGCAGACAACACTCCAAGTGAGCGTGAAGTCGTGCGCGGGACTCTATGTGCTCCATATGGTCTCCCATTAAAGGTGATGATATATCACGGTAGCGAAACGCCCATGGCCGCGGCAATTTAGTCTTCATTTGCTTGAGGCGGTCCATGATTAGCCAAGCTTCTTGTCTCGGACATGTTCGAAGTTGGGAGCTGGTAGTACCGTCAGCCATTGGCATTTTTTCTACGACAACTTTATCGTAGGATGAGCTTACATTTGGTACAAAAACGCCTCTGCCTGGCAGGTCAGGTCAATGGATTCGAGCAATCCAGTTGCATCAAAAGTATCGCCATCAATGCTGTTTGGGGTGGAACTGCTTGGAAGATCGCAGTCAATGTCGGAGCGTGAGATGGATGCGGGGCGTCCATGATATATCCCAATTTTCCTACACGTGCACGACCGTAAGCAGAAGTATTGCAATCGTGCTCCAAACACACAGACCTTTCCATGCAATACACCGTCCACCAAATGCGCCTTCTAATCTCCTTTGATCTTGCATCGAAAGCACCCCGCGAGATTCTTCGATGCATACCATTCTGGATGGCCACTTTGACGGCTAGGTTCAGATAAATGTAGCCCAGTCCAGATGCATCGATCGGCAAAGAGTAGAAACCGAGCAAAAGAAACGCCTGCACGCTCAGGAGAGAACCAGCATGTATGAGTTCAGAAATGGACTTGGCTACTTGGCGATAAAAGGTAGAGCCGACATCCAGCTCCCAGTTAGCAGGGGTATCGGAACCGGCTGAAGATCTGCGTCCACGTCTGCCATTTGGATTTGATGTTTCAAGGTGTACATATTGCGTGCTTACTGCAAGTACCATCAAAGCTACGCAAGCAGCAGGGACATGCTTAGAACCTAAGCGTGCCGAGTTTGTCTGAAGATCCTCTAGAGTTTCTTTGACCCAATGCTTGTCGACATAGTAGTAAAAGCTCGTAGCATGTCTGAAGAACACGTTGACCAAAAATGTAGCGACCGGGCGAGGGGGGATGAGGGCAACAATGTCTGAAATAGATGTCGAACCAGGATCAGGCTCGGGAACGCGGAAGAAATCTGGCACGCGCTTGACATCCTCCAAAGTCTGAAAAGGCCATGAGCAAGTGCTTTCACGATGTGAGGTTGGAAAGATGAGTGAAGATGTGCACTCACACCTACCTGGACACTGGATTTGGCGATTAGTTCATCAATGTTTCGTTTGATGTGCATGGAAAAGTTCCAATGCGAGAATTCACCAGAGTAATCTGCCACCAGGTACAGGCTTTGGATCAGTGTGGTGCATCTTGGGTGGAGCTTGGTAGCAACATACGAGCTGTAGTATCATCAACATATTCAACAGTGCACTTCTCGTCTTCAATGCCTGGACTATCGGAAGCTGACGGGTGTGCAGTAGTTTCTACGGGCAGGCTAGATGTGCCGTGTCGGTCGGACCCAGGGGACCAAGTGGGGAGTGACTCGCACGTGCGCCGTAAAGTGTCGATGTCCAAAGGTAGTTGTGGAAGATGGTGATGGAGAATGGCCTCCATGTACTTCACACGCTCCTTGAGGTCCTTGGACGAGGCCATAGGCTCTTGTGCGCGTTTGGCAGTTGGTGCAGAGACATTGTGGAATTCACATGTCCGTCGTAAATGGCGACAACGTTTACATGGCATGCCACCCTCACATTTTTCTTTCAAGCGACGACATTCGTCACAACTAGTTAGGGCAAGTCAGCGCGGGACCTGGGCGCTGCTGGGAGCACAGGGCAATAGGCGGGTGTAGTCTCACGCTCGCACCGCCCGTTGTCGTTCTCCGGCCGCCAATTGACGCTTCTTGGTGGGCCTTGGGTTCTCGAGCTCCATAGTGGATCGGGAGCGTTGTAAGGTGGGTAATGGAAGTTGGATCGTCGTGCAACCGGCACGGTCAGTGAATATAGCCGGCACGGTTGGATTGACGTGGTTGGCCGTTCTAACCGGCCCGGTTGTACACTACTGCGCACGTGACTTGCTCAAGTGCCGATGGTGTATAGCAGTGCTGCATGTACATGGACGTGGTATTGATAGGTAACACGCGATCAGTGTGAGGGGCTGTGACGACCTGACTGGACGATCGGGAGGGTTATCCTTCTCCTGGTTATCAGTACGTCCATGCCTGGGTGGGTACCAGTGGCGGGTAGCCGCGTATCCTCTACTCTTATCAATGCTAAGAACTAATCACCTCTGTCTTGGTCTTGCTTACTAGACCCGCGACCCCACACTTTTCCACGATGGACCCTGGTAGCAATGCCTTTCACCACGCGTCCCATGTCGATGCTTGCGCCCTTTGAAATCAATCGTCATGGGATTGTCTATGCCTTAACATCAAGTGGCCAGTTGGTGTCGTTGTTTCCCTTGTTACTACCTTGAGCTTTGCGATTGGCGTGCCTATGCGCAAACAGGCTGCCGGCCCATGGCCATCCAGCCGTCTTGACTCAGAGACGGCACGGAATGCCCTGGTACATGTTCAACTAGTGCAGCCAGCTGGCGTTTTCCACGGCGTCTGGAAAATTCTGGAGACGGGAATTCAGCTCACGAAAAAGCTTAGCGTGGTTACGTGCAAGCATGACCTTGTATGGAAAAGGGCCTTTACAGGGAGCGCCGCTATTGGAGGCTCGATCACAAGACATTGCAGGTCTTTCATGAAGAAGGTAATCATGTCTTGCAGCTAGAGACTGCAATGGAACTTTTGCCCGACTCCATGGGACACCAAGAAGTAGCAGGGGGTGATTGAGAAACCCAAAGCCTAGGGTGGTATCGTCAGGACTTGTGTCCAGTAAATTAACAGCCATGGTTGGAATATATTCGATCGGGACTTCTTCGCGCAGCTGTCCATATATGAACCGTTAACAATATTCAAATAGGAAACTCCAAGTGTTCTCACATGTTGATTCGAGACAGCATGTGACTGGATTATGATGAAGATGTTGGCAAAGGCGTTGCGATGAAGGAAGATCTGATAACGAAGACGAGTGCCTTGACACTAGTAGCGCCTAGGCGGGCGCAATACCCCATACGGTTACTACTGTTTTAGGCAAGCTCCGATGTTAGGAGCTTGTAGTAATACAGGGACAGTATGAATCCATGACTGATCTCAAACCTTGAGTTGAGTGAGATGTTTTGTTTATATTACCTGAGTACCTAGATGGTTTATGGTTGACTGGGCGTGAGAGAGCACTGACAACGTCCTCACCGCCTTGTAGCAGGGAAATCTTGTAGTCGTTGAGCGATGAAGTCAAGTCGTCAAGAAGCGTGTGCCTGTTTGGTATACAGCAAGCACTAATACCATCTATGTTTATTTTTCTTTTTACGTTGGAGATTATTCATGCCGACTTCTCCACAATCGCCCTAGCCAAGCCCACCATACTATCCTCCACAACCTCAATCTTGGCCTCTGTAAAAACATCCAAACAAGCATCCTTCTCATAAACAGTCGTAAATGCGCCTCGAAACCCCACTTTGGTCGCCGCAGTGACATCCCACATGTGACCGGCCGCAAACCACTTGACATCGTTTTCGCCCAGCCGATCCCACATGACGCGGTACGCCGCAAGCGAGGGTTTCGCTACGCCGACGGAATCGCAGCTAACCAGATTCTCAAGCGGCATGTGTAAGTTTGCGCGCTCAAAGTATCCGCTTACGCGCTTGACGTCGCCAGTAGTAAGTGCCCAGATGGTAAACCCATTGTCCCGTAGTATCTGGAACATTTCGTGGCAACCCGGTCGCATCTTGAGCGCCGAGTACCCTTCAACGCATCTATCTCTTTCCTCATCCGTGAAGATGGACTTCGGGTCCTGGACACCGCAGAGACTGAGGGTGCGGTAGAAGAAGCCGGATAGCAAGTCTTTGTAGGGCTTGTAGCCGCCGTGGATGGAGAAGAAGGTGAATTCAATTTCTGCAGATGTTTGCCAGCTGAAGCCAAAGTGCTGGGCGGTTATGGTATGTTGGCGGAGTTTGGCGCCGATTGTGGAGTCGATTGCTTCATAGAAGGCGTCGAAGGAGACGCAGGTGCCTACAACGTCGAAGACTACGTGCTTTTTTGACGAAGACATGATTTTCTCTTTTTTGGTTCCTCCTTTTTTCGTGGTTTGTTTGGTTGTCTCTTGCAAGGCGGGGTCGATGACGAGTTGGTAAGGGAGGGATAGCAATTGAGGGGTCAAAATGTGGGACTTGAAAGCTAGACTCGAGATGAATACGAATTTAATGTTGTTATATGAACATGAATCCACGCGTTTCTGTTACGATCTGTGACCGGGTGGCCGGCATCAGAGTACTCAGAGGTGCACGAGCTTTGGTGACGAGACCCCGCCGCTTATCAGATGCCGGGCCGGTAATCGGACCATCATCTCCCCATGGTGAACCGGTGCAATCACCGACCGGTACAAGAGTACTCCCATGGACATCTCTTTTGAAGTCTTGAAATAAATGAGGCTAGCACCACGTGCATATTCCCTGCCTGCAAGCCAAGTCTACAACCTCTCGTCTGAACAATTGAAGTGCCAGCAGTACTACTACTAGTACGTAACAATGGTCCTGCCCAAGCCCAACCCCACAAAAGCATACTGGATCGAAGCCGCCGAGTCGCCCTTGCGTGACTATCAATCCAGCGAGACGCTCCCAGAAGAAACAGACGTCGCGATAATTGGCAGTGGCTACGCCGGAGTCTCAACCGCCTATTGGCTCCACAAAGTATGTCACGCATCCACACCCACAGGTGGTTCCCCAATCGCCTGCAATTCCAAGCCCCTTGTCCTGACATGCGGGCCACCGTGTTTTTTTAGTACACAGAGCATGCATCCAAGCAGCCGCGAGTGACGATCCTAGAAGCACGCGATGTATGTGGCGCTGCTACTGGACGAAATGGTAAGTCGGTTGCGCACGTGATATCGAAGTCACCCACTACTAGTACTAGTACTACGACTACACATGAATACTAATGGTAAATGAAAACAATCAGGAGGACAACTGCGACCACATCTTTACTCTCGATACCCCATATGGCGCGACCGCTTCGGCGCAGCAGGCGCCATGCACCTAATTCGCCACGAGCACGCGCATCTCGCTGCGTTCAAGGAACTCTGCGACGCAGAAGGCATTACAGAGGAAGTATGCTTGAAACTCGGCGAGACCTTTGATGCAGCCATGACAGACGAAGCGTGGGCACGCCTCAGCCATGCACTAGATGAAATGCGCAAAGACTACGGCGACGAAAACGAAATCGTAAAGATATGCCGCAAGATAGAAGACCAGGCCGAAGTAGAAGATGTGACGCAGATGAAGGGAGCATTGAAAGCGATTGTGCATCCCACAGGACAAATGTATTCCTTATTCTCTCCCCTCCCCTTCACTCATCCCATGCTTGGAGATGTACACAAAAAAAAACAGGAAAGGCTAACCCAGCGTATAAAGATGGCCCTACAAATTCATCCACGCCCTCGTCCGCATCCTCCTCGCAACCCCCAACCTCACCCTCTACTCCCACACCCCCGTCACCAGCGTCTCAGAGCGCGACCCCACGGGCTACATAACCGTCACCACGCCCCGGGGCACCCTGCGCGCAAAGACAGTCGTCCATGCCACGTGCCGCTGGGCCTCGCACCTACTCCCAGAGTTCGAGCGACTCATCTTACCGCAGCTAGGCGCCATTGCAGCCATCAAGGCGCCGCCGGGGCTTTTGAAAAGGACAGGGGCGCAGCAGTGGGATGGAATGATAAATGTAACGTCTTCCCTTTTCTTTTTTTCTTCCCTTTCCCTTCCTTTACTGACTTGACTCTCCCTTGTTTTTTTTCTTGTCTTCCCTTTCTCTTGACTCTCTCACTTGTTTTTTTCTTAGTGTGTAAGAGAGAGATATGTTGGCTTACTGACGAGAAAAAAAAATCCTAGAACTACCACGTTCAATTGCCCCCACCGTATAATGTTATTATCATAGGAGGCGCACGCCAATTACTCACTCATTACCCTGAAATCAGTATCTTGAACGATGAAGACGATAAGCAGGCGCCGGGTGTGGCTGATTTCTACAAGACGTGGCCGGCGGCGGATATAGTGGATTGGCCGGGACCGAAAATTGCAGAGTTGGGGTTTGATGTTGAGAAAGGGGGGAGTTGGACTGGGGGTAAGTTTTTTTTTAATGGGACTATGAGACATATCAGGAAACTAATAAAATGTCCTATAGCCCACGAAACAAGCGCAGATGGTTTCCCATTCGTTGGCGCCCTGCCATCTCGCAGCAATCAGTTCATCAATGCTGGGTACACAGGACATGGTATGTCTCTATTTCTTCTACAATACTTGACAAGAATGCATTCGTCTAACTCGCAGTTCAAAGGAATGCCTCGTATCCTCCTGTCTTCAGCATCCCTCGCGCCGCTTGTGCTCGACGCTCTGGGGCTGCAGTACAGCCCACCGCAGCTCGCGGCTTCGTATCCTGCGTTGCCCCAGCCATTTCATGCTACCGAGCACCGTATTGCCAAGCTTCAGGATACCGATCCCGAAAAGGTGCTTGCCGACTATAGGGTCCAGTGTGAAGCTAGTGCGCGAAAGCCTTTTTGTAATATAGACAGGGTAAAGGGGATCCAGTCTAGCCCTCATCTTTAGAATGGCTAGCAGGGGGATGTAGTATCAATCGCGATGGTACATCGACCCGTCCAGGCTGGAGTGTGACTGTGTCGTGCTATACTTTAGCGAGGGTCATGTGACTGTCTAATGGGCGCTGAAGGCGACATGTGATTTTCCGAAGCCGAGGTAGTGTGCTTGTAATGGCTCTAGATAGCTGCAACTGTGTTGCCAACCTCGGCGTTGAAAGATGTACGTGATGGCGGTGATGCCAGAATGTACATAGCACTAGGAAGAATGCTGGCCGCCCGTCTGTCATGTTTGCAGGTGGCCGGATTGTATCCGATACATGGACGAGGCAATCGTAAATGACATATCAAGAGCATGGCATTGTCCTCTCATGTGCGAAAGGGCTTGCGGGCGTAAACAACGGTTCCGGGAAGGTATGCATGGGTTTTGTAGCTCTTGAGCTCCTTGCGCATCTGGGCTAGGTGCAGCTGGGCTCGCGCGACTGACCACTGTACACGGTTAGTAGGCAGTAGGAAGGCGATTGCTATTGCGCAATACTTACGCCGCCGACTTGAGTCAGTAAGCGCAGCATGAATCCCTCGACTCCGTCCATGAGGCGTAGCTGATTCCATCTGCCGATGTTCTTCAGTTTCTTGTCCGTAGGCCAGCCGTTCATTGGCCACTTGTAGTCGACGACGGTGACATCGATGAAACCAGCCCTCCGTAACCTCTCTGCACTCTCTTCCCAAATGGTAAAGCTCTTGCCAAACTTGTCTCCCATCTCGACCACGACCTTGCCCCAGGTATGGTAAAAGTGGTCCGGGCTCATGGAATCGTCGTCGGCAATGGGGCACACTGAGTGCTCTACTATCTCTATCCAGCCGCCGGGCTTGATGTGGCCATAGGCCTGGGAGAAGAAAAAGTCCCAGTCCGGGATGCAGCCAAACAGCTCGCGGATGTGGACAAAGTCAAAGTGGTTTGGGGGAAAGGTCCATTCTAGGGAAACATCGTCAATTTCAAAGTGGCAGTTTGGCGGGACCCACTCGGGCTGGATGGGCGAGAGATCTGTGCCGGTGACGATGGCCGAGGGATACTGGTCTGCCATGTCCTGGTCGCGTTAGTGGAATTCAGGCAGAGGGCGCATGTGGTGTGGTGCTCACAATGGCCCATATGCCTGTGCCGGTGCCGCAGTCGAGGATGGTCTGGGGATTCTGCAGAGGGGCCAGATGCAGTTTCTGGTCGAGGGTGAGGAGGTACATGTGGTGGGCAAAGTCGAGGATCTCCTTGGCCAGCTCGTCGTTGGGGCCCCAGTATGCGCCGTCGCGGTAGGCATGGTACTGGCGGCCGTTTTCCATGCGGTGGTTGAGGATGGACGAGGCAAGCGAGTCGGTGCCGTCGCCCAAGAGACTGCCGCTGTCGAAGCCCGAGTCGGACGACGAGCCTGCCAGTGCTTCGTCGTCGTCGTCGTCGTCGTCGTCGTCGTCGTCGCCGCCGTCTGTGACGGTGTGGGACGTGTGCGACGTGGGGTAGGATGAGGCAGGGGCAGTTTGCGGGGGACGGGGCGTGTCCGGCAAGTGCATGGCGCTGTCCTGAGGGCGGAGATGGAAGCCGGCAGCCTGCGCAGGCTTATGCGGGCTGGACGGAGCCATTGCCAGAGGGGGGAGGGGGGACGGTGTTGTTGTTGGACAGGGAGAGAAAGTGTGTGTGCGTGTGTGTGGGTGTGGGTGTGTGCTGGGGCAGGGCGGGCCGAGGGGTGTGGTCACATATTAGTAAAGGCAGACAGGGGCGTGTTGGCCGTGTCGTGTCGAGGGAGAAGCAGCGGATGCAGAGCAATGGCATTGGCCCGTTTTCCTGCTCGTCGACTGTCGTGTCTTTGGCCTCGGCGTGGGACATGGGGTGTGTGTGTGCCTCGAGCACGGTGGATGGTGGAGGGCGAGGGTGCGGATTGGCGTAGGAACCCCCCGGGGCGATCCTGCGCCGGACGCGCCCTCCGCCGCGTGTGAGTGGGCGAAGGGCAGGGCCAACAGCCGCCGTGCGTACATGGCACCGCCAACACGCCCTCGACCCACGGCCGCACGAGTCGAGTCGCCCCGGCCAAAAGCTTGTTAGCCGCGGCATGCAATCGCAGACGAGGCCTGGGCGGTGCGTCCATTCGGCCCGCGCGGCTGTTGCACGCAGTCGCCTGATGGCCCTGGGCCGGCCTGGGCTGGGCTGCCTTTGCCGGCGCAGAAGTTTATTCTCGTCCTTCTGGAGCACTGTCGCACCGCTGCGCATTGGACGAGACCCATCTCCGGGCGCGACGACATCGGACAAGATCATGGGCGAAGCACCCGCCGGCGGTACGACCGCACACGCAGCACACGCACACAGCGATGCCCACAACCGAGTCCTCATCATTGGTGCCGGTACGCCTCATGCCGCCGCCTCAACGGCACTGCAGCAACAGCAGCAGCAGCAGCAGCAACAGCAGCAGCAGCAGCAGCAGCAGCAGCAGCGCGCCACACATGTCAACGCGCCTCTTCTTACTCGTTCGCAGGAATAACGGGCCTGGCGCTTGCCCAAGGCCTGTCCAAGGTACGTGCCTGCAGTGCTGGGGCAATGTCTGCTGGTGGCCGTTGCAGCCAGCCCCGTGTTGCTGGGCCGTAGTGCTGTCCATGTCCCAGCAGTAGGATACATACTTATACACGCATCTATCCTGCTGTCCGTCCCCGCAGTATCCTAGTGCTGACAGCGCCCACCAGGCCGGCATCGCGTGCACCGTCTTCGAGAAGACCAGCGCCGCCCATGGCGATCGCGACTGGAACATGGGCCTGCATTGGGCGGCCCCTGTGCTGCAGAGCCTCATGCCACGTGGCTGGTGGGAGCAGCACGTCCAAAGCCTCCAGGTCGACCCCAACGAACCCACCAAACCCCTCGACACCCTCAAGTGGCTCCGCGGTGACACCGGCGAGCTCGTGGCCGCCATCACCTTTGGGCCCTTCTACCGCCTGCGACGGAGCAGGCTGCGTCAGCTCCTGTCCCGCGGCATTGACGTCCGCTACAACCTTCGACTGCACGCCATCTCGCATCCCCCACACGGCCGCTCCGTCACCGCCCACTTCGCCGACGGTTCCACTGCCACGGGTTCCATCCTCGTCGGCGCCGACGGCGCTCACTCTGCCACTCGCAACCTCCTGCTTGGCCCCCAGCTAGGCGCCATCAACCCCATTCCCTATGCCGCCACCTTTGTCCAGTCCACCTTCACCAGCGAGCAGGCCCTCTACCTGAGGTCCTTCCACCCCCTCTACCTGGCCTCTGCCCACCCCAACAACTACTTTGCCTTTTTCGGCATGCAAAACGCCCCCGATGCACATGACCCCTCGTCCTGGACCTTCTTCTACTACATCTCATGGCGCAGCAGCCTCGAAGAGCAAGAGGCCACCAAGCACTGGACCAGCGCCCAACGCCTCGCCCAGCAGAAGGAACTTGCCAAGCAGTTTTGCGACCCCTGGAAGAGCGCTCTGCAATGGACCCCCGACGACACACCCGTGTGGTATCTTGGCCTTACCGAGTGGGATCCTAGCCTGCCTGGTCATCGCTGGGATAATCACAACGGACGCGTCACCATGGTCGGCGACGCTGTTCACCCCATGACGTACCAGCGTGGACAGGGTCTCAACCACTCCGTCACAGACGCGGGCAAGCTGCGTGACGCCATCACCAGAATAAACGCTGGCGACGACCGGAAAGCTGCCATCACGGCTTATGAAGACGAAATGATCAAGCGTGGAGGCGCAGAGGTCCGTGACTGCACAGCAAACACCGTCATGTTGCACGACTGGGAGCGCGTCCGTCACAGCCCCCTTTTCACAAAGGGCTTGAACAAGACTCATATCTAGACCGCCACCCGTCCATTTTATTGTCATTCCCTTGCCAGCGACATTGCTCTTTTTTTCTACCAGTCACATGAACTCCATGTAAACTCCATGTAAAAACCCTATAGCAACACAGACACTCTCATTTGTCGTACAACCGACTGAGATGCGACAGTCTCGTAGTAGAGACTACTGCCTAATAATCTATTCCCCGATTTTCAAAGTATTCGACCCATTCTGCCGTCTCAAACAACTTGGGCACCACTTCCTTCTCCATGGTAATTGTGAACATGCATCCCTCATCCACGCAAGCACGGAACATGACATCAAGAAGACAGCTGTCGTCATGTATGGCGGTGGCTCGAATACCACCATTGCATCCATCTATGCTTTTTTCCTGACCATGATATCCAGGTGTGCAAAAGAAAGCGCAACAGGAAATTGATACCGTTGTTGCAGCAGAAGACTCCGACAGTTTGAAGACCGAGGCCAGCTGCCGTACGTCAACGCCGTGGTCAATCAAGTCTTTCGCTGGCATCCGGTTGCACCGCTGGCCATACCACACAAGGTCGACGAACAAATGAGCTACGGTGGGCTCCGAATCCCAAAAGGAGCCTGCCTCATAGCGTCCGTATGTTGGCTTCCGAACGACCCACAGACGTATTCAAATCCCTCTTCGTTTAATCCTGAACGCCTTCTTGCGCCTCTCAGTGAGCCAGATCCAACGAATGCAAATTTCGGCTTCGGTCGCAGACTCGGTCCCGGCCGCTTCGTAGCTAACCAAACCGTTTTCATCACCGTCGCTCGCCTCTTGGCTACGTTTAACATGACGGATGCCGTAGATGAAAACGGCAACAAGATTGTACCACAACGAATCGGCACCCCTGGCTTGACCATGCGGCTGCACGACTTTGCTCGCAGCATCAAGCCTATTACAGTCAGTAGGAAGTACAGCCTTGTAAAATCCACATTGCGTACACCATGTCTACATTCTTAATATGTACAGCTAGTAAAACTATGGTAACCCTCCCATGTGCTAACCAAGATGCTTCCCTAGCTTTGGCAAGGCCCAACGTTTTAGGTCTGCGATCTATAGCGCAATCTTTAGAAGATGTAGACAGAGAATGCGGCTAGCCCAAGTCTACTTATTCTGGGGATCCACGGATCTAAAAAAAAACGCCAAATGGCTAGGTAAGACAGATTGCAGACATAATGTAGGTTCTTTGCATCATACTAATGCTACACTGACACCAACTCCCCCATCATCACTCGATAGTTGACGCTTGCACCGCATTACGACCTCAATCTTCCCGCACCATCACCCGCCTTTGCCAACCGTTCAAGCACGGTCCGCAACTACTACCTACATATCCCCCGGCCTGCTCCACCATCGTCGGCGCATAACGCGATATTGGGTAAGATCACCAACTGTTTTAACAGTGGGTTTCTTCAGCTACACCCTATCGCGAATCCTTCCAAGGCTGCAGATAATGCCACAATATGCACAACTCAGGTTGACCATGGACTGCCAGGCCTTGGGGGCCTTGAAGGATTTACTAACCAGCATTGTGATACGAGGGAAAACTTGTCTATCTCCACCTCCGCGGGCAGCATAGCAGTATACATATCTGTCTCACATAAGCCACCAACAACATTGGAACAAGACATCCAACTCTCTACCTTTGATCATCTGCCAGCAAAGAAAGAAAAGGTGGTTTGGCCCAGCGATTTCAAAAGTTTGATTTGCTTCTACCCTGACGCATTACAATTCTCTTTCACGATATCACCACTTTTACAAAATGGCAGAGCCTATTGCGGTTATCGGGCTAGACGCCAAGTTACCTTGTGACGGAGACAGCGTACAGCAGTTTTTCGACTTCCTTATCGCTGGACGATCAGCTCGGAAACCTGTGCCGAGTGATCGATATAACGCAGATGCATTTTGGCACCCAGATCACCACCGGGATGGAATTGTACGTCCCCCTCCCCCCCTTCTCTCCTCACCAAAAATGAATCTCTAGAGTGATGGGAAATTGCGATCAGTGCTAACACAATGAAAAACAGATTGCAAGTAAACAAGGCCACTTCATGAACAGCAGCGTCAAAGCCTTCGACGCCCCCTTCTTCGGCATCACACCCGCCGAAGCGGCAGCGCTGGATCCGCAACAGCGGCTCCTCCTCGAGTCCTCGTATGCTGCACTAGAAAACGCTGGTTACACATTGCAAGAAATTCTTGGCTCCAACACGGGCGTGTACACGGGCTCGTTTGTGTACGACTACCGTGATGTTATGATCAAAGACACAGATGTTGCGTTGACCTATTCGGGTACGGGAACTGTGCCAAGTACGCTTGCGGGCCGTGTGGCGTGGTTTTTCGATTTTAGGGGGCCCGCATTTACAGTGGATACGGCATGCTCCAGTAGTATGGTGGCACTGCATCAGGCGGTCATTGGGCTGAAGTCTCGGGAGTGTAATCTTGTAGGTTGTTGGTCCTTGGCGCGATCACGCCATGTTTTTTTGTTTTGGAACATACTAGTAGCTAACCAGATGCGATTGGCAGGCACTTGCGTGTGGTACTAATGTCATCCTCTCACCGGAGTTTGGGCAACAGCTGAATGGGCTGGGTGTCCTTTCGCCGCAGGGTGCATCGAAGAGTTTCGATAAAGAGGCCAATGGGTATGGAAGAGGTGAGGGTATCTCGGTCGTCGTGCTAAAACGCATGTCGGATGCCATCCGTGACGGAGACAGTGAGTATCCAGACTCTCATTTTCGTCCAAGGAAAGATATAATATATGCTGACTGGGTTGCTCCAGCTATTCGAGCTGTCATTCGTAATAGTGGAATTGGCCACGATGGCAAGGGTGCTCCTCTACCGGCACCAGTAAGAGAGTCTCAGGTGAATCTTGTGCGAAGGTGCTATGCGCAAGCAAAGATTGACCCTTCGGAAACGCGCCTCTTTGAAGCACACGGAACTGGTACAGTGAACAGCTGACGTCATAGAAAGGCAAGCAACCTGACGATTGAACAGGTACAAACGCGGGAGATCCAACTGAGGCTGGTGCCATTAGTGACATCTTCAGCCGCTATCGGTCAGAAGAAGAGCCCATCTACATCGGCGCTCTTAAGAGTAACATCGGACACACCGAAGGCAACTCTGGTGTTGCGTCTTTTATCAAAGCCGTGCTTACCCTTGAAAGTGGCATCATCCCAGCAAATGCACACTTCAAAGAAGTAAACCACGCAATTCCAAAGAAGTGGCATTTCAAGTTCCCAACAGTTGCTACTCCATATCCTAAAACCCCCTCAGGTGTTCGTCGGGTCTCTATCAACTCTTTTGGTATTTCTGGTACCAACGCCCATGTGGTCCTGGAGGATGCGCGTCACTTCTTGAAGTCACATGGTTATGATGCGCCTCACCGGACTATCGCTGAACCACGACTACCCGGTACAACTGGTAAGCTTATCGATACCAACAACACCATTCGTCTTTGTAGAACGGATATGCTGATCAAGATTATGTTCAGCAAAAATACCAGCAGCCATCAACGGCACCGCATTTGCTCCGCAGCTCTTCGTCCTCAGCGCCTTTGATCAAGATGGTGTTTCCAGGCTGTGCAAGGCATATGCCGAGTATCTTCCTAAGATGACGGACTCACTTTACAACTTGAGCTACACACTCGCAAGAAAGAGGTCCAGATTTTCATGGCGGGCTGCTGTCGTAGCAAGTTCGGGCCAGTCATTAGAAGACAAGCTGTCTGAAGGGCAACCAGCCACACGTTCCCTTGATCAGCCTGGCTTGGGGTTTGTTTTCACTGGCCAGGGTGCGCAGTGGGCTCGCATGGGAACGGAATTGATTCAGTATTTGCCCTACCGACAAAGTGTTGAATGCGCGGATGCGTATCTAAAGACACTGGGGTGCGAATGGTCTGTGATCGGTAAGTCGGCTCAATCTCAATTCCATATTGGAGGCGTAAGACGTGTGGTACGGTTGGCTAATGTATATGAATAACAGATGAGCTTTCGAAGCACGAGGGAGAATCTCGCATCAACAACGCTGAGTTCTCGCAGGCACTGTGCACAGTTGTGCAAGTTGCGCTTGTCGATCTCTTGGCTGATTGGGGAGTGAAAGCGCAAGCTGCCGCTGGCCATTCTTCGGGTGAAATTGCGGCTGCATACTCGGCCGGCGCTATTGATCAAGAGAGTGCATGGAGGATTGCATACTGGCGTGGTAAGTATTTTAGCAAACATTCTATTACTCTCTTTGGACAACAAGTTCGTGAACAACTCGCTGACTATTCCTCACCTATAGGCAAGCTTTCTGTCCAATTGGCTGCCTCCAAAGACCAACCTAAAGGGGCCATGGCTGCTGTTGGTTTGGACTCCAAAAAGACATTAGAAGCCATCGAAAAGGTCAATGAGTCTGGATTCCAAAGTGTCAGCAAGCTAACCATTGCTTGCATGAACAGCGAAAACAACCACACTGTGAGTGGAGATGTTGAACAGATTGACGCTCTTGTCCAGATGCTCGGTAACGAGAACGTCTTTGCCCGAAAGTTGAAGGTCGAAATGGCATACCACTCGAGATACATGGAGCCCATCGTTGAGCAGTACACCAAATGTATGGGGAAGATCATACCTCGCCCATGGAACGGTCAACAGATTGATGTGCAGTTCTTCTCATCAACATATGGCATGAAGATTGATCACTCTAAGCTACAGGAGCCCGCATACTGGACTACAAATCTGGTCTCTACCGTGAGATTCAACGAGTGTCTGAAAGAAATGCTCAAAGCCTTGTCTGATGTCAAGGTAGAGGGTCGCTCATCAAGCCTCGTCACAGATGTCATCGAGATTGGACCTCATTCTGCCTTACAGGGCCCGCTCCGCAACATCATCGATGCAGTGAACAGGGGAGGCAGTGGTATCAAGTACCACCATACACTGAAACGAGGAGATTCGGATGTGGAAACGCTCATGCAGGCCGCTGGAACCTTGTTCACTCGCGGCATTGAAGCGGACCTACTAAAGATCAACCACGTCGAAAGAACAACCCCCGTATTGATGACTGATCTTCCGCGATACCAATTCAACCATTCCCGCGAATACTGGAGCGAGACTCGACTAAGCAGAAATTTTCGTTTCCGCACCGCTCCTCGCCATGAGCTCCTTGGGGCGCCTGTCACCGATTGGGATGCAAAGCATGATGCTATCTGGCGCAATTGGATCCGTCTTTCAGAGAACCCATGGGTCGAAGATCACGCTGTCTCAGGAGCCGTCTTGTATCCAGCTGCAGGTATGCTCGTGATGGCCATTGAGGCGTGCAAGCAACTTGCTGAGATCTCGAACCCTGGAAAGGCGATCAAAGCTATCCGTTTCCACGAAGTTTCCTTCCATTCTGCATTACAGGTTCCCGATAACAACCTTGGTGTCGAGTCACATCTGCACCTGCGCCCGGTGAAACAGGCGGCTCGGGAGACAAAGGCTTCTCCTTGGTGTGAGTTCCAAGTACTGACAGCCCAGGAAGACGATCAATTCCGCGAGCATTGCTGTGGTCAGGTTCTTGTTGAGTACGAAGAATCGCCGACTGCTGTCGATGCTGGGCGAGAAGATCAAGCCCTCAGAGACCATGCTCAAGTTCGGATTTCGGACGCACAGCAAAAGTGCAAGATCCGGGTTACACCCGAGCAGATCTACCAGGCCTGGAAGGATGTCGGTCTCTCCTTTGGCCCAACGTTCCAAACCCTATCAGAGTCTTCTGTTGACCACGAATCGGGCGTGACCTTCGCCACCATCAAGCCGACCGTACCGCTTCTGAAGTCTCTGATGCCCCTTAACTACCTGCAACCACATCTCATCCATCCCACAACACTGGATGGTGCACTCCAGGCATGTCTAGTTCCTCTTGTTTCGAACCCTACGAGGAAACAAAAAAAGCCCATTGTTCTTTCATTCATAGAAGAACTTTGGATCTCCGCAAGCCCACATCCTGAAGATGGCTACCAAGTCTTTGCCGACTATGACGCTTGCAACCGCGACGAGCATACCCTATCTTGCACCGCCATTGACAATAACACGAAAGCACCGATGATCCGAGCATTTGGCTGCAAAGCCACCGAAGTCAATGGCGGCACCGACCCATTGAGCTCTGAGTTGGACCCAAAGCACAAATCCTGGCACATCAGATGGAAGGCAGACACTGATTTTGCAGATTTCGGGACAGAAAACGAAGGGTTCCAGAGATATGTAGATGCACTGGCGCACAAGAACCCACACATGAAGTTTCTCGATATAACCAATGGTGCGTATGCTTTCACCAACGAGGTCCTCACCACGCTGGCACAGCGCTATGACGAGTACGACTTGACGGATAGCTCCACCTCTTCTCTCAACGAGGTACAAAAGAACGTCACAGCAGGCTTTGTGCAGCCCAAGGTCCTGGATATTTTGTCTGAGCCGATGCATCAGGGCTTCAAATCCGAGTCGTATGACGTTCTCGTAGCGCCTGTAAGCGCAATTCCCAGCGCACACATGGATATCGTTCTGCGCAGATTCTTCAGTCTCCTCAAGGCTGGCGGCAAGATTGTTCTTACTATGCCCTTCGATAAGGTGGTGGCGAAGAGCTGGGCCAAATATCTTGTTCAGCAGAGGTTTAGTGAGCCAGACGCTGTGTTTGGGGATAAGAAGTCTTCGATCTTGGTTGCCAGTGTTCCCGCCACTGAAAGCAAGGAATCGGTAGCAAGGCCTAAGACCTACTATATTGTCGCCGATAAGGCTTCGGAGAAACAGCGACAGGTGGCTGAGAAGCTGGAATCTCTGTTGAAAGAGAACGGTGTGACTGTCAAGATCGTTGCTCTTGCCGACTATGAGAAGCTAGCGACGACAGCTGACCAGGAAACTATCACTGAGAGCGCTTGCATCATGATTCCGGAACTAGAGAAGACATTGCTCGCTACCGCTGATGAATCTGTACTATCAGCATTGAGGAAGATGGTTGGGGGAAAACGGCTGTTGTGGGCTAACGAAGAGTCCCCTGGCACGGATCTCGTCACCGGCTTTGCAGCAAGTATCCGCCTTGATCTTCCAGAGCTGAAATTCGTCACAATTACCTTCCAAGATAACGAGAGCGATGAGAGTGTTGCAAGCAAGATCTTTGAGGTCGATACACGCTTGTCTTCGTACCGCACATGTCCTTACGAGACTTCGTACAAGGTCGTCGACGGTTCGATCTTGATCCCGCGACTTGTCGAAGCCCCTGGGTTGACAAAGCACATCGGCCAGACATCCGACGACAGCCTCTCTGAAATGGCATTCGGGGCAGATCCAACGCGCCCTCTGCGCCTCAAGGTCCAGCAAATTGGATCGTTGAGCTCATCATGCTTCGTTACTGATCCTCTCTACACCGCTCCTCTAGAGGAAGACCAGGTGGAATTCAAAGTCAAAGCTACCGGTATGAATTTCAAGGATCTAGCCATCCAGCTTGGCATGATCTCAGAGTCAGCCATGGGTCTCGAGGCTGCGGGAATAGTCACGCGCGTGGGGTCAGGAGTGACGCGGTTTAAACCCGGCGACCGGGTCTTTGGTGTCACTTACGATGGCTCGTTCGCTACTTACGCGCGAACCAGTGAAAGCATTCTCACTAAGATTCCGGACAACCTGTCTTTCGCTCAGACTGCAACCATGCCTGTTGTGTATTTGACAGCATGGATCTGTCTCTACGAAATCGGTGGCCTCGCCAAACGTGCGAAACGAGGGAAGAAGCCAACTGTGCTGATCCATGTTGCTGCTGGAGGTGTTGGCCAAGCTGCTATCCAGCTGGCGCAGCGCGAAGGCGCAGAAATCTTTGTCACAGTAGGAAGTATCGAGAAGCGCGATTTCCTCGAAAATACGTACGGAATCCCGCGCGACCACATCTTCTCGAGCCGTGACTTGACTTTTAAAACCGGAGTGCTGCGCATGACCGCCAACCGTGGAGTCGACATTGTGATCAACAGTCTTGCTGGCGATGCCCTTCGTGCCAGCTGGGAACTCGTTGCGCCATTTGGAGCCTTTGCTGAGATCGGCCTGACAGACATCGAATCCAGGGCTCGCATCTCCATGGCTACTTTTGCCCGAGGCGTGAGATTCGAATCGCTCGAATTAGCTTACATGTGGAGGACCGACCCAGAGCGACTTGGTCAATTCTGGGCCGACATGATCGAAGATACCCTTGGTCGCAATCTCGAAATCAAGACTCCTATCACGAGTTATCCTGTCTCAAAGATGGAAGAGGCAATGCGTCTTATCCAGTCTGCAAAGCACATTGGAAAGTTGGTCATTGAGTATCATGATGAGGATGTGGTCCGAGTTATTCAGCCGCCCAAGCAGGGTGCTAGGCTTGTGCCTGATGCTACATATGTTGTTTCTGGCGGTTTCGGAGGTTTGGGTTTGAAAATCATCCGTTGGCTTGTACAGGCCGGTGCTAAGAATCTGATTGTTCCTTCGAGGAGAGGTCCATCAAATGAGGCAAGCAAGGCGCTCGTGGCTGAGTTGCAGGGCAATGGCGTTCACATCGCTACTCCCTCGTGTGATATCACGGATAAGACTGGGTTGGAGAAGGCTATATCTGAGGCTCTGGCTGAGATGCCACCAGTTCGTGGATGCATTCAGTCATCTGCTGTGTTTGCTGTAAGTTTCTCGTTCCTTCCAACCAGCGCCGCGAGATGCACATCGAAACGTCATCACTAACATGCGTGGAATTAGGACAATGCTTTTGACAAGATGACTGCAGAGCAGTGGCACCAAGCTGTCGATGTCAAAGTCAAAGGAAGTCACAACCTATGGGAAATTCTTACCTTAAATAGTCAGACCCTCGACTTCTTCATCATGCTATCCTCTATAGTGGGCAACATCGGCATGAGCGGCCAAGTAAACTACTGTGCAGGAAACTCCTACCAAAACGCCATGGCCAGATCGCTAGCTGCCCAAGGCCACAATGTCGTCGCGCTCGCCGCTCCAATCCTAGATGACGCTGGCATGGTCGCCCAGACACCAGCACTAAGATTGTACCTCCTCTCCACCGGTTTAGCCTTCATGACATCCGAGCAACTCGTCAAAACAATCGATTACTACTGCCATCCCGGCACAAAACTCAGCGTCGAGGAAGCCCAGCCGGTCCCGAGGTTCTGGCTCCCGAGGTACACTGCAGACGAGGGCGCTGAGCAGCCAGCCTGGCAGCACGAACCAATGTACAACCATATGGTTCTTCGAAATGGCGCAGATAATGATAACGGGTCGCCTGGAAACGGAGGCTCATCTAAGCGCTCGACGCCCGATATCATTGCTGCAGCGACATCGTTGGAAGAAGCGGAGCAGACGGTACTCAAAGCGTTGCTAAATCAACTTACAAAGACGCTCAGCTATGACTTGGAAGAACTGGATGCTGATAGGTCACTCAATGCGTATGGCGTTGACTCGCTTGTCGCTGTGGAGCTCAGGTTGTGGATGACCAAGGAAATTGGAGCAGATGTCTCTGTGTTTGATTTTACGAATGGAAAGTCGATAGGTCAGCTTGCTGCAAAGGCGGCAGCTAAGTCGAGGTTTTTGCCGGAGGTGAAGGAAGTGGAGAAGGTGGAAGGGGCTTAGATTTGATTACCACTTCCTTTTGAATGATTTCCTACAAGGTCACAATATGCAACCAAAATATATTGATATTCAAAAACTTATTTTTTATGGTCTCAGGGACAGTGAAGTCAACGTCACGTGCACAGCTGCGGAGTTGACGCTAAGCCCGGGGACCCCTCAATGGCGCCGCTCTGCGCTATGAAAGATGCCTCGGATGTTGTTCTCCAGCACAATGACGCCGGCGATGCTCGGTTCGGAGCGCGTTGGCGTCGTGACAACGATTGCCGAAGCCCAGCAGTGTCCTTTGTCTTTACCAATCAACGTTTTTACATACTTGTATGATATTTCATACATAGTCGCAATTACGCACACATCGCGCCAAATCCTCCCAAACCCCCCCACGCGACCGCCATGACGTCTCCCGCTGAATTCACAGGGTGGCTGGGCCATGATAAGAGTGCTGCCCAAGGAAAAATGACCTGGTCTTCCTTCACGCCAAAGCCCTTCAATGACATCGATGTCGATATCAAGGTCTCGCATTGCGGTATATGCGGTAGCGACATTCACACGCTGCGCTCTGGCTGGGGCACTACGCACTATCCCACATGTGTCGGACACGAGATTGTAGGCCACGTCGTTCGCGTTGGAGAAAAAGTCAAGAATCTGAAGCTGGGTGACCGGGTCGGTGTAGGCGCCCAGGCCTTTAGCTGTCTAAGAGACGATTGCGAAGAATGCAGTGCAGGCATCGAGCAGCATTGTACCAAGATGGTATCTACGTACAACTCAAAGTATCCAGACGGTAGCTGGAGCATGGGCGGTTATGCCGAGTATGTTCGTGTACCGGCGCATTTTGCCATCAGGATACCCGCAGGGCTTAGGAGTGAGGATGCGGCGCCTATGATGTGTGGAGGCATCACCGTGTATGCGCCGCTCAAAAACAATGGCGCAGGACCTGGAAAAAGGGTTGGAATCATTGGTATCGGTGGCCTTGGTCACTTTGGCATATTGTTTGCGAAAGCGCTAGGCTGTCAAGAAGTTGTCGCCATCAGCCGGAAGAGAAACAAGGTCGAAGATGCAAAGGCAATGGGCGCGACAAATTACATTGCGACTTCTGAAGACGAAAAATGGGCAAGGAAGCACAGCAGAACTCTCGATCTCATCATCAGCACTGTCTCGTCTCCAGACATGCCCTTGGAGTCCTATCTCCGACTACTGCGCACTGGCGGCTCTTTCATTCAAGTCGGTGCGCCAGAAGACAAGCTTCCTCCAATCACTGCATTTGGCTTGATCGGCAAGGGTTGCAAAATTGGTGGAAGCCAGATTGGCAGCCCTAGGGATATTGAAGAGATGCTCAGATTTGCTGCGGAGAAGGGAGTCAAGCCGTGGGTGCAGAAGCGCAACATGAAGGATGCGAACCAGGCCGTGGTCGATATGGAAGACGGACATGCAAGGTACCGATATGTACTGGTGAATACCGATCACGGGGATCGCGCAAAGATGTGAAGATATCCCAGCACCATAGAGGATGGTTTCGCAGCACGTTAGTATGCATTGTTACATTCAACATTTTGAATGTACCGATGTTGTGAATGTATCTCTGGTCGTTCACATGGTTCATTCTCACAGTGTATACAATTCTATATGTTGCTTGTATAAATACTGCCTTACTCGACCTTTGCTCAACGTGAACGCCAGACACTCCTGCACTCTACGGCTAAAAGTGAAGAGATCTTCGACCACTATGCCAATATTCTCGAAGAAACCAGGTCCACCCCTTCCTGGCGGTCTGAAACCAGGTCGTTCCAATTTTATGGGCTGCTTTGTTTACACCAAATATCTCATAGCATTTATCCACGAACAGAAAGGTCTCATTGCAAACGGTGAGCGCCTCACCAAGATCCGCATGGTCCAAGAGCGCATCGACCATCACCTCCACACGAACGTCATCAGGCAGACACACGGCAGCGGCAAACGCGGTGAACCATGGCTCGATGGGTTCGTCCGCTGCTACAATACCTTTGAAAAGCTCAGCTATGAGAGGTTGAGCAAAAACCAATACCCCCACGTCGAAGCCATCGAGCGCGAACTCTGGAATCGATACGTTCCAATCTACGACTGTCTGCTCCCCCTCTTAGAACGCCTGTTCAAGGAAATCGGCATCTGGAGGTTCGGAAGTGAAGCGGAGTGGGCAGCCCAGAATGGGCAAGTTTGCCCAATTGAGAAACGCGCGAAAAAGCAAGTGAAATTTGACAAGCACGTAGATGGATGGTACTATAATGATTTTGATATGCCGTGTACGACGACTAAAGGAGATGACGAGAAGTCGAGGAAGGCAGCAGCGTTTAAGGAGAAATTGGCGGTGGATAGGTGTTCGGAGGATATCCTCAAGAAGAGGATCCAGGAGAGGAGGAGGAAGGGTTTGCAGAGTGGTATGGTGGAGAATTGGAAGGAGGGCGATGACGAGGACGAAGAGGAGGAGGAAATGAGGAACATGAAGGTTGCGGCGCAAGAGTGGAATTTGCTTGATTAGATTCCCTTTAGGTATGAGATGGTCTGAGAAGGAGGGTATTTTGGGTATTGATGATACAGGATTAGCTATTAGAGATGAAAAATAAGAAAAGATTCTTAGGGGGGTCCTGGGAAGATTGCATCTCTGCATCTTATCGTTGTGTAGACTTTGCTCGGCTTGTTAAACCAATAATTCCGTGTTTCCCATTCTCTGTCCGGTTCTGACAGTTGTAGGTCGAAGGAGCGAAGGAGCGACGGAATGACTTTGTACATTTCACAGAGCGAAATCTATTCGAGTTAGCAATACCACAAAAATTTCTGGACAAGTCAAAACTTACGTTCTTGCCAATACACGTTCTCGAGCCACCACCAAACTATCGGCAATGTCAGTCCACAATGTTCCTGGTGGTAAGGCAAAAGAAGAAGAAGACCGACCTGAAACATACACCTCTCCATCTTCGCCGCATTAGGCCTAAACCACCTCTCTGGCACAAACTCATCCGCATCGTGCCCAAACACGCCGCGATCCCGCTGCACAACCGCCGCATTAACACCAACCCGCGTCCCCTCGGGAAACCATTGTCCCGCAATAACGCAACCACCGCGAGGAACACGACGAGGCAACGTCATACCAACGCTAGGATGCAATCGCATCCCCTCCTTGCAACAAGCCATGAGATACGACAGCCCCACCGCCTCATGGTACTGAATATCCGGGCTGAGCAACCCAGCCTGCTCCGCTTCATCAATCTCAGCAGTGAGTCTGGCATATGCAGATGGCGTGCGCATGAGGTGGTAAAGAATCGACGTTATCGCTGCAGCGGTGGTATCGGAGCCCGCAATACTGGATTCTCAAATCAGTCCCTTTTTGCCCCCCCCCCCCTTTCTTTCACCAAGCAGAAAGAGAAAGAATTGAATCAGTGGGAGAGAGATGAACTTACAAAGCGCCATACACCTCCATCTTGACCTCTGTAATCCCGAAATCCTTTTCCTGTCCCTTTTCGCGCATAATGTCGAAGAAACTCTGCAGCATGTCATCGCACTCTTCGGCCTTGCCCTGCGCAATGACATGTTCGCGCTGCACCACGCACGCTAGGGACGCGGACTCGATGTGCTTGAGGGCCTTGAGGGCTTTGAAGACGCGGGGGATGGCGGCGCCGCTGACGAGGACGAGGGGGCGCACGTAGGTGGGTGCGGTGCAGGCGACTGCAATCAAGGGGATGAGCAGGTCGAGAGCGTGGATGTAGCCGGCGTGGTCGTGCGCGTTTTGCAGGAAGCCAAATGGATTACTGAAGAAGAGTTTGCCGATTACGTCGAAAGCGTACCTTTTTTTGTTGCAATCAGTTTTGCGGAATTTCCAAGGGGAGGGGGGGGGCAAGCGTACCACTGTACCCATTCTGACATGTCGATGACTGAACCCTTCATAGCGCGATCTGTGAATTTGGCTATCAGGAGCTGCACGCATTTGTCAATGTCTTCTTCGAGTTGTACAATGTTCGACATGGAGTAGACTGAGTTGACGATTCTGCGCCGCTCGGCATGTTGGCGCTCATTTAGGTTGGTAAAGGCATCTGGGTATCTGGCCCAGTCTGCTCGAAATGGGAGATAGAAGTCGGTCTATATGGTTTAGTACAGCTTCTATGCGACAAGACGAAGCCGGGGTTTTACTTTAGTAAAGCCGGATTGAGCAGAATAGATAGTTCGGATGGCTTCTGGGTCTGCTATAGCGACTTCATTTGGGGCTATCCGAACAATAGGTCCTGCCATTATCAGTCATGATGAATTTTTGACGATTGGTGATTTGAGGTTACCGTATTTCCCGTGCAGTTGCCGTTGTGTCTTGTCGGAACTCCCCTGTGCCACATCGATGATATACCAAAGACGAGTTATGGAGGCAAAAAACGGACCAGGATATTTGGCCAGTGGATGGAAGTACCTGGCATAGACGATCCAAGCGAGGGAAGAAACAAGCAGAAGAACCGGGACCAAAACTATTGAATTGAGCTGCGGAACGAAATTTTGTATTGTAGGAGACATGGTCTAAAAACTTGAAATGAAACTTGAGTGACAAGGCGAGCGTCGACAGCGAGTTTAAAGGCCACAACTTGAGAATACAGTTTTTTGCAAGTATCCAATAGTTGAAGTGGGTTGAATCCTGTCAACATTTCATTCATCTTATATCTGGAACATCTACTAAGAGATACAGCCCCAATGGGGGGCCACTGGGGCTGAGAAAACGCGGCGTTGGTGGTCAGGCTGCGACTCCTCACCAGCACCAAATCACTCGCAAGTCTTACACAGTCATATTCTGTTCCGGCTAGTCTTTCGATAAGCTACTAGTGGGCGGAAGCATATGACGTTAAGTAAGGTTCAGCCATGAAAAAACGCAAGGGATCCCTTGTTTAGAATTGATGCAGGACCCAGTGATCCTTGAGTAGATTGATCGACTCCCGCAATCTAATGCATTATGCGGCATAGATTCGCGAGCATGTGGCGTCTCGTCTTTCCGTTTCCGATTGCTTGGGTTGTTTTGTGCATGGTAGCTGCGAGAGCGAGGGTGGGGTGAGCATAAGAAGCCGATGACCCGTCGTTCGTCTGCCTTCTGGGTGCCCGTCTCCCGTGAGGTTCCCGTCTGACATCAGCGATATCATGACACCGCTGTTGATGTTTTCTTTCTGAATACAGTCGTGCGTCATGTAAAGTGTCATACGGCAAAAAAGTCGACAAGTGTCTGACAGGAAGAACGTATTCAAGATGTGCTCATGTGGCCCATTTTCGCTTCGATGAGATGTTGAATCCAACCTTTGATTGGATACAAATTTCTCAAGATAGAAACCCCTTTCGGTCACCGACATGCACCGCCGCAGCAGCATGCTTACGACCCATCAAGCTGGATTACGGACAAAGATTGGGGCTGAGACGTCGTGGAACCAAGTCAAAAGCGCCAATCCTCGCCCCTTGCGATCAAGATGTTGCCTGTTGCCTTTGTTCACCGAAAATATCTAGGCAGACTTCGATACTCAAAAGGGCCAACAATACTGCTGCCTCGGGTCAAGACAAGAGGTGCGATGGAGTTGTCGAACAGCCTCGCGCTAACCCTAATACCGCCTAACCTATGCCATCTCTAGCGCCTTTGGACGACATCCACTACTCTTCTCCGCGGGCGGCGATGCTTTTCCGTGTTTACATCCCAATCCTCCACCGCAACACAGCAAAATTTCTAGCCTGGTGACTCGCAAACCGCAAGGGAAAAATCATCAAATGTCTCAATGTGCCCTCCCACTCAGGCAAACTCTGCGCATAACAGCCCCTTACCGAGCAAGTCGGATAATTTTCCGCCGCAGCATCTCGGTATCATCAACACCACAGCACCGAACTTACCAACTATATAACAAATCCAAGACGCAGCACAGCAACAACATCCAAATCAATCAATTCCTCCAAAGCAACATTCGAACTCGTCAATTGACCACCACACTACCCACAATGTCTTCCGCACCTACTCCCCAAGACCAGGCAGATTCCAAGGACTGGTCCGCATCCCAATACCTAAAATTCAACAACGAGCGCACCCGCCCCGTCTACGACCTCATCACCCAAATCCTCCCCCACATTTCTTCCCCCTCCCCCCGCATCTACGACCTAGGCTGCGGCCCCGGCAACAGCACCCGCGTGCTCACGACCTCCTTCCCCAGCGCCCACGTGACGGGCATGGACTCCTCCCCCGACATGCTACGCCGGGCCAGCGACGAATTCCGCTCCGACTCGGCAAACGTCGATTTCGTCGCCGGCGACATTGCAAACTTTGAAGTCGAGCAAGGCACGGATCTCGTCTTCAGCAACGCAGTCTTCCACTGGCTCCGCTCCGCAGACCGCATCCCAGCCCTCCAGCGCCTCTTCGCCTCCCTCAAACCCGGCGCCGTACTCGCATTCCAGATGCCGGATAACTACCACGAGCCCTCGCACGCCCTCATGCGCCTAGTCGCCACTCTGCCCTCGCAACCCTGGTCCCGTTACTTTGCAGACGCCCACGTGGGCGAGTTGAAAGATACCCAGCGCCCGGATCTCGATCCCATCGAGCCCACGCCCCACTTCTACAATGCCTTTGTCCAACATGCCAGTTTGGTTAACATCTGGCGCACCAATTATCACCATGTACTGAGTGATGCCCCTGCGATTGTCGAGTGGGTCAAGGGAACCGGCTTGTTGCCGTATTTGAATCGCATCGAGGATGACGCCGCGAAAGCCGCGTTCTTGAGGGAATACGAGAGCAAGCTGCAAGAGGCGTATCCGACGTTGGCGGATGGGAAAGTCATACTGGTCTATCCCCGCTTCTTTGTTCTTGTTGTGCGCAAGTAAGAAAAACAATCAGTGTGTGTGTGTGTGTGTGTGTGTGTGTGTGTGTGTGTACGTATTATAATTATAGTCATCAAGTAGAAATCTTATTACATTACTACTAGTTTCTCAGGAAACGGATATTTTTTTTGACTCTGTATAACATTGTATTATATAAATATGAAGAAGGTTCTAAGCCACAACCAAACCGAAAAAAGAAAAACTCGGATGCAAAAAATGACAAAGCAAGTCTTGTTTCATCGGGGATATTTGCCAAGTTACTCTTTTCCATCTATGTATCAACATGTGAGTGGGAACGAGGAAAAAAATACAACAAAAAAAGTTTGACAACGCCTTTTTTTTTCGTGGCTCTCTTCCCTCTTCTCCCTCACTTGCTTGCAACATGATGAAAACACTTCCCACACTCAACCCCCCTCCCCACACACATCCCCGTCTTCTCCTCCAAGCTGGGCCACAGCCCGTTTTTTTGTTCCAGCGCCTCCAGAAGAAGAAAGAAAAAATGGTGCCAAAGTAGAAAAAACGTATTTGGCACGTTTGTTTGAATTTTACCCAGAAAAAACTCCTATACCAATGCTACACAACCAGCTCTCTCTCTCTCTCTCTCCTCAAAAGTAAAAAGGTGCCGCAAAAAGATGCAACACGGACACACAGACACACAGACACTTGATGGAGACTCACATAGAGAGAGAGAGGAACACACACGCACGATGCAACCGAACGCAATCAAAAAAGGAAAAGGACAAGTCATCATCAAACTTTGTAGCAAAAAAAAGAACCAATGCATAAAAGAGGATTTCTGGCGCCAGTCTAGATGTTCATGACGTAGACTGTGGGAGACCAGGGGGTATAGAATAATATCGCCGCTCAGTTGAGTATGCTTTTTTCGCTCAAAGCCGTAAAATAAAGGTGGAGAGAATCAACGCCCACGTACTCCGGTAGGAAGCTTTAAAGAGAAGTCATTGAGTCTTATCCGGCACCTGCTGTGCCGACTTGTGTCTGTTTTTGGAAGCCCGGCGGGCGGTAGCTGTTCCGGTGAGGTGAAGCAGTCCGGTGACTGTTTGTGGATGCTTGCGGGCTTGGTCCGTAGCCAGCGTTGGGTTGGCCTCTATCAGGCCCCGGGGCTGGGCTGTGTTGATTGCGGACCTGGCCGCCAGCTCCTGCGATTGGACGAACAGCCTCGCCTGCTTGAACAGAAGGATTGTTATCTGCTGTAGTGATTTGAGGTGCGTTGCGTTGGTCCTTTCTTGATGCTGTACCATTTTGGTCTCTTGGTGGTTGGTTAGGAGCGGTAATTGGATTCTTTCCACGCTGCTCCCACTGGCGCATAATCTCTTTGGCGCTCATATCAGACGTCTCGTCGCTCAGCAGTTCCATGATTTCTGGGGGTACCTGTATGGAGTTAGAGAGGGTAATGGCCAGGCAGCTAGAGCTACTTACCTCGGAAAACTCGTCATTGTTCTCAATGAGATCAAACACCACCTTGACCGCGCCTTGGTCTACACTCTTCACCTCCCTATCGTTACTCTCACGCAAAATGTTCGGTGCCATGACAGTCGCAATGTTCCAGGTGTCCATCTTATTACCCGTCTCCTCATCGACAGTGTGGAAGGACGAGACCCAATTCAGGAAGCAAAACAGGACCTCCATGGTATCGCGATGGGCTTTTGGTAGCAGGCAGAGTACGAGGTGTAATACCTTCTTTCTTTGAGCTTCATCTTCGATGTCTATTCAAGTCAGTGAATGTTAATAAGTGCTTCTAGGGCTAGTACTCACCGTTGGCTACCATGAACAATCTGTACAACTTCAATGTCAGGACAGGCTCCGGCATCAGTCGAAGGAAGCGCTTCAGAAGATTGGCGAGAATGACGGGATTTTTGTTGTTCAGGTCAACCTTTTGCACGCCATTAGCGTCAATCTCCTCCTCAAGCTCGCGCAGAGCCTTGAGGTTGCCGTTCTTTCTGAAAACACCCTCGATGGACATGTCCATGTTTCGCATGGCAGTGATGCAGTCTTGTAGCAAGGCTGGGACCTTGAGAGCGCCTGGCCCAACACCCTCTGTGCATTCGTCGCCAAACTTTTCCACTAGATATTCGAGGGACTGTCTAAAGGTCGCCTTGTCCGAAACAGGCTTCTCGACGGCACTGTTGACATTCTTCTTTGGTTTGGCCTTGTCGCCTTTGAAAGCTTTACCAAAACCAATTTTGCCCCAGAAGTTGTTCTTTTTCGACTCGATCAGGTCGAGCAGTTCGCCTTGGTTGTACTGGCTGTCATCGAGCAAGAGCCCAAGTTGGAGGACAGCCAGGCCCTTGAGCTTGAAATACTCTAATGGTGAAAGCTCCGAAAAGTATGTTCGCGGGCGGCCTTCACTCATTTGCTGCAGTTCTTGACCGCCAGAAAAGTCTCGGCGATGGCCGCTCTGCAACCTCCCTTGCTCACCTTGACCAAGTAAGGCACTGCCACCGGCACGGAAAGCATTAGGTCGTTGTTCTCGTTGCTGTTCCAGGGCGGCCATACGCGCAATATCGTCCAAGGCAAGAGAATTGACTCCCAGGGTCACAGCATCGGTTTCATTTCCTTGGCCTTCTTGGACAATTTGCATTCCACCCCTCAACTGACCCTCGCCCCCAGCTGAATCGAGTCCTTCAGGGCCGTCAATGATGCGTGATGCACGTGCGCGCTTCATGGTGTTGGAGAGGTGCTTGTCGAGACGCGTCGACCTAAGACGCTTGATGTCCGACATTGATTGTTCATAGGCGGCATTTTGGCTGACCTGGCTTTCCGTGGTTGGGGCACCACTATAGGATTTGGAGCGCGTGTCTGATCGCAAGTGGGCCGGTTGAGAATCCGCATCAGCGTCTCCCAGACGATGGCCTTGTGAAGAGTCATAGCCGGCTAGGTTGGGGTCATCTACAAGTCATTAGTGGGACGAACGTAATCTCGATAGCGGCTCCAAAAATCTGAGTCGAGGTGTCAAGATGAGTGGTGACGAGGTGGTCGGTCGAGGAGAGGCTTTTCTTACCTGAGGTGTGAGGCAATGCGCCGCTCGAACGCAAAGTGGCCATGAGGCGGGCATGTGCCACATTTAGCAGATGAACGTACTGGCGCAGTTTGGTGATTTGCTCGAATCCCTTTTCCGCGTCCGCACTCGCTGCAGCGCAAGCGGGACAGAGGATGGTTCTCTTGGATTGAATCCAGTAAGCACTGCGAGGGTCATGTCGCAGGTCAGCGTTGCAGCCACGACAGACCATGCAACTGTAGTTGAACGACATGTTGTTCAGGTGGAGACACTTGTCTTCGACCTGGGCGTCGCAGATGGGACACGCGTCGGCCCATCTTGGGACCAAACGCGCAGACTCGGCTGCCTGGTCTTTCTGGGACTCTTCCTCTAGTCGTGCGTCAAGAGAATTGACTTGGGTGAGAAAGTTGGTCAGACCAGTAGAGGAGCGGGTTTCGCGCTCTAATTTTAGCGCTCCCTGCAGACAGATACGGATGAGGAGCTTTAGATAGTGGGCGAGACCAGTCACCAGGGACAGCAGTTCTTGGGTCACACCCAGCCGACGGACGCCGGTACCTTGGGACTGGGTAAGGAGCGCGAAAAAAGCAACCACCTTCTTACAGAGAAGTTTTGATTCGCGCGAATACGTCAGTCCTTTCGGGGTTCGGACGACCAATTGCGAGTCGAGTGCGTCGGCAGCAGCAAACAACAACTCGACGTGGACAATGAACTTTTTCGCTGCCATGACGCCGTCTACATAGGCCCCGTTGCTGACATGGAGAAGCATGTCAGAGATGCATGTGGCCGACTTTTCCTCAAAGGCTGACAAGGTCTTCCAGATCCAGTTGACCTTTGCTTCAATTTCCTCCTCTTGTTGGCGCACAGTCTCTCGCACTTCATCGGTGGCGTCTTTGTCGGCCTCGTGGAGATGCTCAATGACAGGCTGGCCGGTCGAGTGGAGTCGGACGTTCCAGTACTTATGGATCATGTAGCATTCCGGATGCCAATGCTGATTCTGACCGTTTCTGAAAATCTCGACAAACTGCTTGAGGATGGACGTTTGACAGCCATTGCAGCGTTGGGCAAATTTGGTTGAGTAGTGGTAGTGGCAGTAGACACTGCCCTCGTGCTCGTAGTAGCTGTCGGACGCGCCAAAGACGGTGGGGCAGACGGAGCAGGTGAAATGCTCAATGTGGTATTTGCGGTCGAGCGCAGTGATGTAGGAGCCGCGCAGAGCCTGTCCGCACTCGAAGCAGAGCAAGTCGAGTCGGCGAAAATAGTCGGTCTCGCACAGCGGGTACTGACCAGGGGGTTTTTCGGGAACGGGGAAGAACTTGGATGCAACAATCTTGTTGCAGTCCTGCGAGACGGTTAGTCAGTGCATTGGGGGGAGGAGTGAGTTGTGGATAGCGGCGAGTATGAGACGGGTGAGTCTATGGCTAGGTAGCATGACACCGACTAGGTAATGCGCTGTTGATTGAGGAGGGGGGAACAAAACGAGACGGGCGTCTTACATGACAAGTGAAGCATTCAAGGTGGTAAGTGTCGCCCAAGGCTCGCACAAATTGGCCGGTCAGGCCTTCGCCGCACTTTCCACAGATCTTGCCGCTGCGCTTTGGTTTGGAGACGGGCTGGTTCTGGTCGCCGGGGTCGGTGGCAGAGCGCGAGGGATAGCCCATGCCGTGGGGCGCGAGCGAGGCGGACGACGAGGCACCGTCGTCTGTGGCGCGGCGCATGAGGCCGTTGGAGGAGTGGGGATCATTGGTGAGTTGGTGGTGGGCGCCCTGGTTGTCCATCGGAGGCGGTCCCTCCGCTGGTGTGCCCATGTCCGGTTACGCCAGTTTCGAGGATGGGCAGTATGCAGCGTCGGGAGGGAGACGAGATCTTGGCAGGAGCCGAGGGGTCAAAGGGGGTGCGAGGACGACGAGGCGGTGACGGTCAGGGGGCTGGCGGACGAGGGCACGTGTGGCGACGAGTGCAGAGGGCGACGAGAGTGCGTGCAAAGTGGGGGGGTTATGGGGTGTGGGGAGTGCGAGGCGGTGATTGTGGGCTGGGGAGGGCAGGTGACTGGCGGCAGCAGGGCGGCGCTGGAGGGCCGTCGGGCGGTGGTTCGTGGGATGCGCAGCGTCTAGCAGCGGGCAGGCTGTGGCAGTCGGGGCGAGGTTATGTACAATGGGCGTGGCGGCGAGGTGGACGGCGACATGCGGCCGCAGCGGGATGGGAGGGAGGCGGCGTGCGGTGGGATTAGGTTGGCCGGGGGTGGTTGTGTAGAGGAGAGCCAGGACCCTGAGCGATTGGGTGAAACGCAGTCTGTAGGCAGGGCGGGCAGGGCGACGGGCGCGCGACGGGTGCAGGCAGAGGAGCGCAGGCAGATCTGGGGCTGCAGACAGGGCAATGGTGGCGGATGCGAGGGTGGAGGAGGAGAGGAGGGGGGGTGGTGGTGGTGTTGGTGTTGGAGCGGGTGGATGTTCCTGTGTCGCTGAGGCCGGCGGAGAGCTTGTCGAGCGAGGAGAGGCATGGCGGCCGTGGAGAGAGGGGACGCTAGCCCGATTGGGGGCCGGCTTGATTGGGATATTGGGATCCACGCCGGCAGCAGCACCGGCGCCAGAGGGTCTCGGGCGGCTGGCGAGGGCTCTCGAGGGGCAGCATCGCTGTGTACGTCTATGTAAGTCTATGTAAGTATCTGTGCATGCCCGCAGCCTTCAATATAGGCTATATGCACGTATAGGTACATGCGTATACCGCCGTGATACGAGCGCTGTTATTGCGACTTGTGTCGTCGCCACACAGACACACACGGCATGCACACCATCTACCTACACCCCACAGCAACAGCGCGCACCACGGCAAGCGTCATTGTCGAGGGTCGAACCGGGGGGCCAGGGCAGGCTATTCCGGGCACATGGCGCTGCAAGCCTGTTCTGCGCCTCTGCACTCTGCACGCTTGCAGCGCCAGCAGCAAACGCGCAGGGCGGGGAAGGCCGTGACAATACGCCCGAGCATGGCAGCCTGCCCTAGTGCCGAATTCACGCCTTGGCACAGCCCGCCCGCCTCCAGCCCGACTCGCTGCTCTTTGACATTGACATTGGCACCCCCAGCCCTTCACCGCTAACACCACCACCACTACCACCACGCTTGTTTCGTTTTCCAGACCGACAAGCCTCCGCCGCCACCCTCCCCCGATCCACTCTCCCCCATCACAACCACCCCCCATCGCCGCCATCATGGACGGAGACGGCGAGCACAACGCCCCCCAGAGGCCCGAGCCGCCCGTCTTCAAAGCACCCAGGCTCGTCTCGCGCCCCAAGCCGCCAGTCCAGCAAGAGGAGGAGATGGGCTCCGAGATCAAGCTCGGCGACTTCGAGGACGTCCATGCCCTCTCCGTCTCAGAGGCCCGCGCCGTCGTCACCGCCGTCCACGAGGCGCGCAAGAAGAAGGACCCCGAGAACAACCCGCTGCGCGACCGCATCTACAACGACAGCATGTGAGTTGTTGGACCTCGATGCCATGCAGTCGCCACGACTGACGCTGCACCAGCACAATCACCCAGTTCCTCGACTACCTTGACAACTTTGCCCGCTACAAAGAAGAAGACAGCCTGCACTCCATCGCCGCCCTCTTCGATGCCCACCCCGAAATCTCCGTCGTCGAAAAGGCGCTGCTGGGTAAGCACGTGTCCGGAAGAGAGCCGTTGATGAGGGGCTGCTGACAGCCCTGCTAGGAACCCTTACCCCCGATACCGCCGAGGAAGCCACTACCCTCATCCCTTCCCTCAAGATGGACGAGGACGAGCTACAGCTAATCCTCGACGAACTGAACAAGATGCGTGAGTTGGAAAAGATCAAAAACACCGCCCTGGCCACCTGAAGCTGACTTCTCGGACAGAGGATCGACTTCGATAATGCTCCGACTAATCCACTGCCACTGCCAACCAACCAAACACCCTGTACCCACTAACCATTACCAAAACGACCATCAAACATGCTCTTGGCCTCGCGCATGGTGGACCCTGCCACTCAAAATGTAGGCGAGCAATGGCCAAGACATGATGACAACAGCATAAAAACTGGGCCCATTGACGGCCTCGACTTGAACATGTACCAACACCATCTTCCCAACACTAGAGGGCCCCATCTAAAAATAGTCACACACCCATTGGATCACTCACCTGTCTTGACACCACAAAACTTAACACAGCCTCCATGCTCAAAATCTTTCCATTTTCCCCACTTCCTGCTGGTCTATGTCATGTACTTGTCTATGTACGCACTGGCAGCCCCTTGGCCAAGATTGACAAACCGAGACAGGGTGCGGTCACTCCTGTACATATGTATGTACTTTTGCCAGTATCCGCCTTGGCCTACCAAATGTCACAATAGATACTAATCACGTGCTTTCTTTGCCCACTTGCAAAGTACTCGTGTTCAGGTGATTATGCATCAACTTCAGTTTAATATCAAGTGGAATGAAACTTGCTATTACCCAGTTGTTCACATAGACCATCAGTCCGACCTACTCCTGGCTTTGGAACATCATGATTAAACAGTAATGAATTTGTAGTGCGGATAAACGACCATGTTTACCTTCCCATTACACCTCTTGCAGCCAGCATCAGAAACCCTCATCACCCATCCACCTTCTCCCTCACAATCCCCGGATAGCTACGCGCAACCCCTGTATACTCAATTGGCTTGCCTTCATCCACCGGTATCCGTGCTACAGTACTAACCAGCGTGACATTCACCGTACCATGTTGCAGCTTTGCGATTCGCTTGCCGGCATCCTACTCTGATTAGCCACAACACACAAGACATGGAATAAAGAAAGGGGCAAGGGGGGAGAAACTCACATCTAGCACCCACCACTTCAACCGTCCCTCAAGAAACGGCAGCACAGCCTCCTCGTTCAATCCCTCCAACGTCGCATTATTCACACACTCCGCCAGCAATCCCGTCAAACTCGTCGTACCCACCATCTCTTTCCCCTTTGTACTCCCACCGCCCCCAACCTCATCCCGCCGCACAGCAGGCATAAGCACCATCCACGCCCCCGCATCCCGCTCCCCCAGCGAAAACTGCACTTCGAACGTGCCCCTCATCGCCTGTGCCTTGACCCTCGTTTCAACAACCCAATCCGTATACCACCCCCCATTCCTCTCGAGCAGCCCCCCAAACAAACTCCTTTGCGCCACCACCACCTGCGCAACCGCCATCTCGCGCACCCGTCCGCCGTACAAGCGCGACACGGCGCCTTCGACATGCGCCTGGAAGGACTCGTCCGAAGCAAATTTCCAGCGCTGCGTCTCGGGGTATGCGTAGCCGAGCACGGCCGTGTCGTGACACTCGGCCGTGGTCCAGAAGGCGGTTGGGGTGCGGCGGAAGGGGAGGAGCGGGGTGTCTTGGTCGATGAGTTGATTGTCGGAGAGGAAGAGGTTGGATTGCGTGGAGATGTTGGAGGGGAGCATGGGGGCTTGCGGGTGGGATAGGGTGTAGAGGGTGAAGAGGCGGTCGACGTTTCTGTTTCCCCCCCTCCCCCATCTCTCGTTAGCAAGGTTAAAAGGGGGGGATATGGAGACGTACGCATGATGCAACATGAATAATGGCTCGTAAGCTGAATATTCCAACGGCCACATGTGGCCCCAGTACGGCGAGTCGCGTAGATAACCCCCGCCGATGACGCCGTGGACCCAGCCGTGGGCGTCTTCGAGTGCGGAGGAGAAGCGCGAGAAGGTGCTTGAGCGGAAGGCGATGCTGGCTTGGGCGATGAGGTTGTTGGATTGGTTTTTGAAGGCTTCGGCGAAGAGCCAGGGGCGCGAGGGTGAGAAGGGGTCGTCGGAGGCTGGCCAGCGGACGGTCGAGTTCATTTTGCGCCACTGGATGTGCTGTTAGTTGCTGAACTGTGGGTGGATTGTACACGCACTTTGCCGTGGAAGCCAGTGGGTAGGGGGTGGAACTTGTAGGAGAACAAGGGGTTGTCCATAACTACTGGCATGCCCTTTGTATCTGTGATCGTGATTGTAGGAGTTAGGAAAATATCAGGGACCGGGCCGAGCTTGGTGCCTTGAGCCCAGTCCCAGTATGGGATGCGGAACTCACGAGCGGCAGTGAGGTAGCGTTGAGATTGATCCACTGGAGCGTTTGCAGCGATGTCGTGGACGTGGTTGGAAACAACTTGCTATACACGGTCAGTGTTCATCTCAAGATATCTATTGGTACACTTTGTGACGAGACGAAAAGGTAGGAGACCCACCTCGAACAGCGCAAGATACGGCCGATGCCATCCCAAGAATAACTCATTGTCATGTGGACAATAGCCTGCTTTGCCAATCTTCTCAGGTAACCCAGGCGCGTCTCCCCATGTCTTGTACGGTCTTCCGTGAATAGCTATAAGATCAAGTTAGTCTTGGTCCGCATATCACAAGAATCATACCTACATGCCAGGCCGTAGAAGGAAAACGCATCGCTCTGATCAGCACGTTGCAGACTATCCAGTGCCAAAATGTACAGACTCCATTGATCGGGGTAGTTATCCATCAGGTCCCTGATCTCGCGGCGCACATAGACATTTCCTTGAGCGAGTCAGTAAATCACTTTCTTTTGACATTCAGAATACAACACCATTATCATCCCGTGAAGTGGCACCAGTCACTAAATTCGTCTCAGACTGGCGTCTCACACAGGCCCCATCATCCTGCAGCCCGATACACTGCGTGCCCGAAACAAGAACCGAAACCGCAAGTCGTAAGATCCAGAATGCACGCATCGTCATCGATAAATACCAGCGAAAAGGTCGATATGTGTGTGTTATCAGCTAAAGAAAAGTCAGTGTGCGTAAGATAGTCATTCATACTTTAAAAAATTCCCGGGCCTGTAGGACATGTGGACATCGACACGCCAGCGCTACTAACTCAACTCAACACGGAGAATAGAGAAAAAAACGGTTTTGCAAGTCCGTTGCCGTGTATCCGTGACGTGGATAGAACAAGCATCAACATGGCCCAGTAGCAACGTGGCTAGAGAGGGGTGTACGCTGAAATCCCCACACCATGCTTGATATCAAGCCGACGCCTGCATCAGCCACCCGTTCATCACTAGAGTCAAAAGCAAACAACGGCCGCTGTGGCTTGGCTATTCCCACTACCACTGCTTCTTTGCCAAGCAAGGGGTCACTCAACTTACTTGATACATACCATCGTCCGCACGTGGCGTAAACACCATGCCAAGTCGCTCTGTCTGACGAAATCGACACGCCACCTAGATCTGCTTTGCAAACCCTGGTCTGAAAAGCGTTCGTCTTCGCAACTGTGCTGAACGTCTGGCCGTCAGCGAAACGCACAAGGAGCGAGGAGACGCAAACGTACGTCGCTGTGCTGTTCCGATTGCGACGGGAAATGACTGAAAAGGGACACCCAGGCGCTGAGGCGTCGATGGGGGAAAAAAGGGGTAGGGAAGGGGGTTAGCAGCGTTGGCATGGTGGGTAGGCTTGTTGCTTGGGCGAGGGTTTGTCTGTTCTTGGTCTGCGATCCCGTGTGGTGTGGGAGTACGAGCATGGTACAAGGAGTTTTTTTTTCTTCTTCACAAGACTGTGTAACTTGTAACGGGCGGGGTGCCTTGCCGATACTCGGACTGAGGCTTGTTCGTTGCTGCATTGACGCGGTCATTTGATCCTTCTTGAATATTTCGAGGTTAGTTTTCTGCTCGATTTGTCATGGCTGCAAACTCGTTGGCTCTTGGGATGAAAACGGGCGGTGCATCACGAGACAAGAGTGCTAGAGTCAGTCTTGTACAAAGTATTTGTAAACAAATGTCTGGCAGTATGACTTGGCCGCGACAACGTTTCTGGTGGGAAACATGTTTCCAAGATGGGAGCAATCAGACAAGTCAGTGAGAGCTGTTACCCTAAATTTCTGGCGTTTACTATCCATTGATATGTAGCCCTAGCCTGGTGATATGTCGATTTGCTTCTATTAATTGATCTTCACGATTGTGGGACATGACAAAGAATAGATATAGTATATTTATGGTATCGGATTTCCAGAAAAAGATGCTCAAAAGGTCCGTCGTACAACCAGGAGATGCCGAGAAAAGAGTCCACCCGTACATGAGCGCTTGGGAAGATGCTTTGACTAGAAAAATACCGTCATGGAAAAATGAGTCGTCTGATTGGATGAGCGTCATGAAATTCGTTAAAGCGTCCTGAAAGCGGCTTCGGTGCAACCATAGCACAGCCTTAAATGTCGTTGTAACCAAGCAGCCGCTTATCTAGGTCCTTGTCCGCGACCGCCCAAGCCCAAGCACGACCAGCTTCGCCACACCAAAGGGCTGATGGATCATCAGACTTTTCAAGCATGCCATCCTTTGCCATGGACTTGATTTCGTGGCCAGTAGTGTAAGTCATAAAGTGTTCAAACTGTTTGCCGTCCAACGCAAGAGCATTTCCGGTGATGCCATGGCAAAGACAAGGTTCCTTTGTCAGAAGTCCTCGTTCCCAGATACATTCTCTGGCCTTGGCAACAACCCTATCGATGCGGTCATGGAGTCCAGGGAAGTATTTTCGGATGGAGAGAAGCGAAGTAACGACGCCGGGTGCCCCATGGCAAACTTGTACAAGCCTATCACGCCCTGGTGGCAGCGATGACGGAAAGTTTCCACTTTCGTACTGATAACTCAGCAAGGCGCCTAGCTCGGCATCCAGTTTGGGCGCCCACGCAGGGTCAGTGAGGATGATTTGTGTGATGATGCCGATGGCCCCGTGAACAGCACCAACGTACGCCTTGCCGTGCCATTTCCAAGGACGCGGGCTATCCATGATGTTTTCGATAATCTCATCCGCCGTGTCCTCGATGAGTTCGGTGATTTCCTTGTTGTCCGTAAAAGCTTTGCGGACCAGCCGGAGAAGGTACAGGTAACCCGCACGGCCGTACAGCCACTCGTTGGAAGTACCGTCCTCAAGCATGACTGCCGCATGATCACAGAGTTCCTTGACAGTGTCTGGGTCTTTTGCTGTAATGGCGTACAGTGCAAGAAGCGACATGATGTCGTTTGAGACGCCGCATTTCTTCGGAGATGGTGGTGGGAATTCCTTGATGTGAGTCTGGGCTTGCTCAATGTAGGCTGCCGACCAAGTATTCAAGGGATAGCCGTCCAGTTTCAAGTCTGGGTAGAGGTCATGCAAGGCATAGAAGAGGAAGGCGACCGATATGGGACCATAGTACAAGCCTCCGCCTGGGGGGATGTGGTGCGGAGGGTAGTCGGTGATCAGCCGGTCCAAAGACGCTAGTAGCTGTTTGTGAGGGTCTCGTCGCGCGAGCGGTGCATCGTTCCGGAAATAGCGGGGTATTGAAGGCGGCGCTGCTTTTTCCACGGTAGCAGCAGACGGAGCGCCTTCTTCAGACATGGCGACAATGGATGAGGCAACTTCTTTGTTGAAAATGAAATGGGCAAGAGTTGGCGCAAGTTCAGGATTGCTGCGACTGATCCGCTTGCAGCAACGTCTTCACGCGTGCGTAGTAGCGTAGCGGCCCAAGCGTGACGTCAGTGGGGTCCGCAATATCATTCCATGATTGGCCTTGCACCACGTCAACTCTGCCAACCCCGGCGAAGAACCCCGTGTCTTCCATCCAACTTTGCATTTTCTCGTCTTTTCTTTCGGTCCGATTGATCCTAGGTATGGTTTTCCTCTTCTAACGTGTTCACGACAGTTTTTGATCCATGTATACGTATACGGCTGTAGTGGTGACTGAGGGGTTCCATCTCACCCAACATGCCGACTACGTACGCACGTGTGCTGTTCAGATGACTTCCCGCAAAATCCTATCATCATACCAACCTTTCCATTTTTATCTCTTGCTACATATCTATTGTACAGGTCATTACAGTGCGTTTCTGGGGTATATGCTGCCTTTCCAACTGCAGCTCATCTAAAATCAACGCTATTGCACCCCCCTCATTATGTAACCATATACCAAAAAGAAGTCCGTCTATCGGTCCGCAGAATGACCGGGCCACGGCAGCGGCTCCGCTGGGAGTTCTACAAATCGTCCCATCGAATCGCGTCGGCGAAACTGGGGCACGATCTCTCGACTATCCAGTTGTGGAGGCTCGCATGTTTCCATCGTATCAGCTCTGTATAACTCCGCAACCTTCTTTTGAAATTGTGACGATGCTTTGCCTGCAACCATGTTAGATCCCTCGACACCGGACATTGCGACATCAGATAACTTACTTGAGAGTTGTGGTGTCATGTCACCGCCAACAAATGGTGATGGGTATGCTGGCGCTTTGTAAACTTTTGTAAGTCTACGTTTGCGAATAAAAAAGAATATGGCCAGCAATAGAGCGCAAAGAATGACGGAGCCGAGGACTGCGCTAACAATTGCTGCTGCTGGTACTGGATGCCCACGACTTGGTATCGATGGTGCTGTAGTAGATTTTGGCGCTGTCCCTGTCACGCTTTCTGTAACTGTCCGGTATGGTGGCTCCACAAGACTGACAACAAACCCTGATTCGGATGATGGACTCGCGGTCGTTGATGGCACTGTTTTTGTAGTTGTGATCATTGATGCAGATTGAGTTGGTGTTATAGTGGAAGAAATCGTAGTCTTGGGTGGGCTGGCGATGGTGCTCGAGATATCATTCGAAGCTATGTCATGTCAGTTGAGATGATCAAATCGACAGCGCATCAACTTGCATCGGCCTGGAGTGAGGTCCTTATCCGCTGGACAAGTACTACCCGGCATGCAAGGATCCATGGTGCAGCAACCACGAAACCCATTGCACACATAGAAAACACCGCCTGCCGGGCAATCACCCACACGAGGTAAAAGTATCGAGGTCATTGCTAGACTCTGGGGTTTTGGATCGTCCAGTTGCAGTGATGCTGCCGAGAATGAAGAGATATGAGTATCCCATGGTGGCCATGGCTAAGCCTCACAAGCATGTTTGCAACATTTCGTGAGTACGGCACAGAGGCAGTGCTGCTGCAAGCCGGCGTGCGTGCGCAAACAAAGCAGTGCATCACAAGGGCGTGCCTTGGCTTGACTCCTGATCGGGCCCGAAACACCATGCCTGATGCGGATACTTGATCAAAGAAACTACCGGGCTATTCCCTGCGCACTTGGTATACTTCTGCAGGAACTCCAGATAGCATCCTATTATAGTATGCAGCCTCGTTTTGGGGGTGTTATTATGGGGTCAAAGACGTCTTTAGATCAAATCTCCACACCTTCGCTTCATGCACCAATCGAACAGAATCTTGTAAGCCTCAAAGGCTGTCTAGACCTGGCGCATGGGTTTCGTCAGTGTACATGAGATGTATTGCCCTTTAACGGACTTCATTTTGGTACGTTGCGACGTGCCACTAGAGAGCGGTAGCTAGTAGACTTGCTCGCGAGCCAAACGCCGGCTACCTTGGTGCGTTTGTTCCGCTCCCGCAAGTACCTAGTACTTGATGATCGCTCTACAATAGGTAATCCGTATCGCCATGCCAAATCGGCTACAGCCCTATCACACGAGCGAACACACGTGTGTTGTTCTCGGCTTGAGACGTACAGTTGCAAGCGCAGTGAAGTAGCACACTTCAGTCGTAATGAAATGAAGCGCAAGGCAATTTTGCCATGGATGGCGACATGATGCGGGCGCTTCTTTCATTGCATAACTGTTTTATTTTGCCATTAAAACTTCTTCAGCATGTTATTAAGCGAGGATAGACATTATCGTATTGCTACAGGAATGCGTTGAGAGCATAAAGTCCTTCACTAGTACTTTGGTCGCTTTTTCTATCTATTAGACATCATAGCGACTAAGGACTGTCAATACCAACATCAGCAAAGCGAGGATGAAGCTTCCAGCGCCGAATATTATCTCCCAACTGCCCCAGAAAAAGATTCCTCCGATGATTACAGAAGAGAAGAGGGTACTCAGAAATGCAATGAGAGATTTTACCGGACACCATGCAGTCTCAACGTACAAGCCATCTAGTTCCAGATATCTGTTCTGAAACTTAAACGTGTTCGATGGGGGATTGATTTCCCTAGTCACAATGAATGTTAGTTGGATCGCGGAGCATGCTTAACTAATACTTACCTATAGCGATGGATAAAGCAACAGTTATCGAAACCATTGAGCATGCTTTGAAACCTTGCACCCGCTGGATTTCTGAAGTAACAAGAAAGGAAAGTCGCAGTTTCAATCCAACGTATCTGATCATTGCACCAATCCCTTTTTCTGAAAGGACAAGTTATTCCATAAAAGTCCCATGAAATGTTGGCTGGACAGTCGGAGTTCATGTGATTGTATTTTCCAGAGCTGTCGCGATAGCAGCAATCTGGAGGATCATAGGGCACAGTGAAATCTGCTATCAATTCGACAGATTTCTGAGCTTCTTCTAGTTTCCTAGAGTATCTCTTGTGCAAGTTCTCTAGGTCTATAGGTTGAACGAAGGCTAAGAACCTTTTTGAGTCACGGCAGATCAATCGGAACTATATTTAATTTTAGAACAAGTAGGCATGGTATAAGATGGTGAGAACATACAGTAACGGGCTTGAGTCTTTTGAATCTTTGGAATACATGGAAAACTCGTGATAGGCCAAGTTCTTGGTGATACTTTTTTTTTAGTGACTTGAAAATTCATACTCATTGTCATCGTCGATATTTGGGACGTCCACAGCCCAGGTATTGAAAATTTCCGAGTTTTCAGAACCCCATAGCAAGAACACGCAGCTCGCACCGTCCTTCTTCTCAGCTTCCTCTTGAAAGTAAGTGAAGATAGGGTCTCCGGGCAACTGGGACGGCTTCTGTGAAGCTTCGTGCATAGTCTGCTGCCGTTTTCTTTTCTTAGCTTTCTTCAGTTCATTGTCTACAACAGGCTGGAACCCTGTTGCTCCCGCGGCGATCGTTTCTGAATGCTTAATGCGGGCCTGTTCTGGTCGTGATGGAAGTTCTACTTGCGCTGATGACATGGAGTAAATCCGGCTTAAAAAACGATTACAGATGAATAAATTCTTGTATGTGTGTAACTTTACAAAATACATCAACTTATACAAATGAAGGCGAGGCAAAACTGCTATATGAGGCTGCTACTGTTGTGCCAGCGCTGCGGATCCAGGCAGAAGCACTGCCTGTTTGTGGCGGAGTAAGGCTGACTTTGCTATGAACTATAGCGCATTGATTGATTGATTCATTTATCTTTTGTCTCTATTGTATATAAGTGGGTGGGATATGTTCATTGCAAGTAAAGAGGATTTCCCCGTGATGATGGCCTCATGAAAAGAGACCATTGGGCACCGCGTCAGAAGGTGATTGATGATCTCCGCGGGGCGAGGATCACAAGGCTGGCTTCACACCAAGAACAGAACTTCACGCGCCTTGGAACCATTTTTCTCTTTGTATACCATATTTCTGAAAAATATCTGTTCAACTATAAAAAAACAAAAAAATCTTACCATTCTCAATGCACGGTTTTCGACTTCCTAACCCTGGAGGGATGCTCCTTAGGACAAATCACATTCCAATGTTGAATGAGTCTCGCAGCCATTGTTCGCTCTCTAGAAGTCAACAACCCACCTGTGACCACATTGTACAGTTTCCGCGCGATCACACCCTCATCCTCCAAAGTCATGGTGACGTACTCCTGCGAAGCCGTACTCAAAAATGCAGTCCTTAGCGCCTTGCCTACCCGATCGGAAGGTGCCTGCGCCACTTTATTTTCATCGGACTCATCGTAGTCGATGCCCTTCCAAGCCCAGAACGGGCTACGAAGTGCGATGATCTTTGGAACGAAGCAGGCCATGTCCCAATCTACGATACCGGTGATTTTGACTGAACTGCGGCTGCTGATTTCCACCATTACATTGCGGGCGAAAAGGTCGCCGTGCATAAGGTGGAAGCGGTCGCCTAGCCAACCCATGTCGTCGAGTACGTGAATGATCTCAATTATGCTGTACCAGAGCGACTCTCTGAAGCCATCGGGTGGGCCGATCAGGGCCTCATACCTCATCCACCGGTTACAACAGTCGATCAGAAATTGGCATGGTGTCTGATGCGGTGCCTCACGCTTTTCGAGGAGATTCAGTTTTGGATGGAGATGCGCCTGGTCTGCAGTGGGAATGAGGATTTGGTCCAGCTTGATCTCCGAGCTGGGTGAAGTGATGTTTTCGAACGATATTTGACCAGCTGCTGGTGAGGTGATGGACGCAATGGCCTCTACGATCCTAGTCAGCTGGCGAACTGCTGACGCCTTTTGGTCGAGGTTCATCTCATGCCAAAGCTTCACAAGGCTTTCACCTGGTATAAAGTTTTGCAGCATATATGACCGACGTAGGGCGTTGATCTCTGTAACGTCGAACTCTTTGATTGTGGGAATGGGCACCGGGAGGCGCTGACCCAGAACACATAGAGTCGCTACATCTTGGTGTATATCGCTTCTTATTATACTTCCCAAGTGACCGTTCACATCGAACCATGATTCCACTGGAATTCTCAGTGCGAAGGTCTGTGGCTTGGGCGGTGAACCGAGCAGTCGTGTTACTCTAGCACTATAGCTTGAGTCGCTTTTCTGTGCGTGTATCTTGGGTATTACAGACACACCAACGACCATATTATATGCGCCTTGCCCAAGACGTCTAATGGTAGGTCGCTCGGTCTCTTGAGGCGGGAAAAGATCGGCCAAGAGTTGCATAATCTTAGCCTTGAGTTTGGCGACTTTTTCGCCGTCGTAGTAGTACGAGCCATCCGGTCTGTAAATGTTGCCCTCTGCGAAGAAGTCCAAACGAACGTTTTCCTCTTGAAAGCTGTGACGTCGATCGGTGGTTTGAGAATTTATTGACAGGCTATCCATGCCTTGTTCAATGTCAAAAACAACCATGGTTTGGCAAGGGTTTGTGGCTGGCATGATGAATTCTTCTGGATTGTTGTAATTTGTAAGTAGTACTGCGAGTTCTTGATGTATTGATGATGTAAATTCTTAGTGTATACCTTATAATAAATCTGCAATAAGAGTTTTATAATTCCTGAGTTCGACATGGTGAATCCACGACTAGATGTTGTGTACATACTACCCTATATTTATGTATGCACAATGCTCCGACAACCCTGCTATTGTGCTGATCAATTGTTAAGACACTGTGTTTCAGTCAACATACACGTTGTGAGGTATTGTTAGTGTCTCACAAAGTCCGCTTGTGGAGTGATTGGCGCATGCCGTCAGTTGAAAGGTGATTCATTCTACGGTAAATACAATTTTGGTTCGGCATATATCATTTTATCTGAATTGTATCTTTGGTACCATATCCTGAGTTTAAAATCATATCTCACCATGATGAAATCAGATTCAAAATTGTGTGCCTATATCGACATAGAGTTTTTCTCATCGTAAAGTCAGATTGTGAGCCTGTTTGACACTTGGGAAGCGATGTTTTACCCCGAGAATATCTTCATTTGTGTTAATAATAGATGCATCTAACATATATCCTATCTTCCTAACAATCGCAATGCTCCATCGTGTTTGTACCAAAGATGTTGCTGAGTGCTTATGACTTCCGTGGGTGAACATTCACCTGAACACATTTGAACCTCTGGAAAGATACCGCAGAAGGGACATCTCGGTCCCAATCAAGATCAGTGTTTACCATTGTATAATCGTAGCGATAGAGCAGATGGCCGAGAGAAATGCGGAGTGTCTGGTACGCCATCTCCTTTCCGATACAGCCTCTAGTTCCCGAAAGAAAGGGCTTGTAAGCTTCCCTGTTGTCGTGTTCAAACAGAGTGCCTGGTCCATTGTCAAACCATCGCTCAGGCCTGAAAGACAAAGGTTCAGCCCAATACTCGGACATCCTTTGCATGGAAAAAACGTTAGCAGAGACTACCGTGCCTTTCGGAATGTAAATGCCATTGATCTCCGTTCCAGGACATGTTCGGTCGGCAAAGCGGGTATTGATGGGTGGCATCAGCCTAAGAGTCTCAAAGATTACACTGGGGAGATAGCGGAGCTTTGCGAGGCCATCCGCAGTGATCGATTCCTGGCTGGGAAAAGCGTTCCGGAGTTCTGATTGTACAGCAGCCATATATTCCGGGTTACGGAGAAGCTGGTAGAATGTAGCAGTCATCGTCATAGCCGTCGTTCCATAGCCAGCGAGGCTATAATCATTTAGCTATCATTTACCAGAGAAACATGAAAATACTGACAACAAAATGGAAGAGTTTTGAACCAGCTCATCATCACTCAGGTGGAAGCCCGTCTGTGCACAATGGTCAAGGATTGCCGTCATGAAATCTCTTCTCTCATGCTGTCTTTGCAAGCAACTTGTTGCTATCAGTAACTAATCATCTTCTCACCAAGAACAGCAACTTACTTTCTGAGCGTGGACGCGCTGACTACATGTCCGGTCGTAGTCGATGCGTAAGGGAAACTCTGCAGCAATTTACCAAGAGGTTTCATGAGCGAAGGAAGCACCCAAGAGCCAAAGGGGAAGAGGTAATCGTATAAACCATATGCTGCCATGACCGAGTTTGCATTGTTGATGAAATAATCGAACATCACTATATCAATGTCAGTGACCAGAAGCAGAGCGTCTTCGAAGTTTGTAGATGTTGAATTTCTTACGTCTTCCATTTCCTGTTAATGTATCACCAAAGCTTAGGTCTGAAACAAGCTCCCATACACTCGCAGAAATGACATCGCCGATGTTCGTTACCTGGTGTGGCTTTTGGACGATCTCGTCCAGCCGGCCAATCATGCCTCGTACATGCTGTTGGATCAATGGCTCTTGGTCTTTCAGAGCATTGGGAGTGAATGCTGGTTGAATGCCTCTCTTCAGTTTCCTGTGCAACTCTTTGTCATGTGTCGTGATGATGTTTGTTCCGACTAGCAATAGGTTTTCGGCTTGCTCTTGTACAGTCCACTGTTTGGTAAAGTATGTGTTTATGTTGTTGTTAGAGCTATTGTAGATCTTCTTCTGTGCATTAACCGTGCTGAAAGAAAGCTCATTGGGGCCGATGCGAACTACCGGGCCTGTTGGCTGCCTATTAGACAAGTCTTTCGCCATTCACCAGATACGCTTAACCTACCAAACTTCGAGTGCAAGTCTGCTATTATTGTGTTGAGTCTTCTGCGGTGCAGAACGCGAATCATAAAAATCTTTGTCCATACAATGTTAATAGTTCCCCTCATTGAACGCCAGTGCTTATACTACGGGAACCTTACAGATGAACAGCGAGCAAGAAACGGACCAGGGATTTTTTTCAGTGGATGAAAAAACAGATTGTAGACAATGTTTCCGAGGTGCCATGACGACAGCTATGTTGGGTAGTTAGGTTGACGAGCCAATGCTAGAACTGTGAACAGGAGGACTCACAAGGCCAAAGAATACAACAGCGATAGACCGAGTGTCTATCGCATTCATTGACGAGATTGTAGCTCCCATTTTATCGTAACACCCAAGGGATCATATACCAGGTAGATTGAGTGTAAAATGGGTTGCCTCACGAAGAGTACAAAAGGAAAACAGGTTTATAAAACAGGTGACATTAGCAGGCAAGAGTATCTATAAGCCTTCCCGCAAGACTCCGTATTCTCAAACCTTTGCTCCGATTGCTTGGTTAGTGACCTATCTTAAAGATGCCATCTCTATACAACTGTTCCTCTTTGTGGGGTTATAGATAAGACCTATTATAGCGCTAGTCGCGTATAGTCGGCATACATGCCTCTTCACTCAGCATTCGTTCTTCGGCTACATAATTCCTTTGCATACCTCCGCGGCCTCTCTCCTACCTCGCAATTTTCTCAAAATTCGCCGTCAATCAATTGGCCAAACAATTGTTTTTCGGTCACTTGTCTACTTGGCACATTGTCGGGGCTTCGTTTCCGTGCAAGAAGTTCTTAGAATTCGCCGTTGACGGATTAGATAAGACCTGACTGTTCGGTCACTTATTTGCTTCGCACATTTTCGGCGTTTCCTCTCTATTCTCTAGCTTCGTAGGATCTGATTTTAATGACTCGCTAAGTGGGCTAGTAGGTCCGAATATGTTACAGGTGCCCTTATCGTTATACGAAGTATAGTTATGCGATACAAATCACTGTGGATGTAGAGTTCAATGCAGACTCTATATAAGAGTAGTTATCATTGTGGGAACTATTGTCTGTATTGATATTTTTGCACCCTTTCATCCTTACAAAAATCTCTGACATTTTTGGTTCAACGTCATGGAGGCAATTTTCCAATACTCTTCTCCTGTTGATATTAAGGAGTTGTCCAAGAATGGTTACTTTTCTCAGCTTATGCCCCGTATAAACCACAGAGATGACCTGGCAAATGCCGCGACTCGGAAGCTCTTATCAGACTGGGCAGGGATGGTTGGAGATGGATGGGAAAGCGAATCTAATAGCTCACTGAGTGAAGTTGGCAATTGGTGTTCACTCGTGTTCCCTGAAACAAAGCCAGAGAGGATAGGAACCTTGACCTATCTCACTGATCTCGGTTTGATACACGATGGTACGTCATATACTTCTATTATTTGCGGCCAGTTGACTGATATTAAAGATAGACAATACCGAAGCGATGTCTTCTGATCTAGCTAATCAAGAGCATAAAGTGCTCAGCGCCGCCTTGAATGGTTCCGACAACTCAAGCATACCTGGGGGCTCCCGGTCTCAAAAGATTAAGAATCTAGCAGCCCAATTCTTGCTCGAAGCAATGAGCATAGATTACGAAAAGGGTACCAGGATGATTAAAGCCTATCGAAAGAAGTGGCTCGAGGTGATGGACAGCCCACCATCAGATGCCTTCAACGATATCTCATCTTACTTGAAGTTTCGAATGAGCAACGGTGGCATGGAGTAAGTGATGTCGCGTCTATACATGGCTCTTACAGATTACTAACATGCATTTAGTCCTTTTTGGGCCATGGTCCTTTTCGGAATGGACATAACATTGACAGATGACGAGATCAAGGCCACACAACACGTCATGGACGCCGTAGACTGTGCGCTCGTTCTGACCAATGACTACTACAGTTTCGACCGGGAGTACGCAGCAGTCAAATCTAACCCTGAGGCTCGTATAGTGAACGGGGTATTTCTGCTCATGCAGAATGGCGGTATCGATGAGGTCGAGGCACGATCATCCATACGCGATCTGATCGTGGAGTATGAGTCGCAATTCCTTGTTCGATGGAAAGAATACCAGGAGAAGAATACTAACATGTCGATGAATCTCCGACGCTTCATAGAAGGAGCAGGGGCCATCGTCGCCGGTAACCACTGGTGGTGTACAGTTTGCCCCAGGCATCATTCTTCTAAAACCCAAACGGCGAAGACGCCGCAAACACATGCCGCTCCTTCTAAACCCTTACCTGCCGGTGGCCCGAAAAGAACAGACTCTGCGACATCCATTGATACGGTTTCCATCACTCCTCAACTTTCCCAAGAACCACTAGTAGAGCCTATTGATTATCTCAAATCAATGCCATCGAAAGGGGTTCGGAAAGCTCTCATCGATTCATTGAATGTTTGGTTCGATGTTCCTACGAAGAAGGTGAAGAGCATTGAAGAGATCATAGATACCCTTCACCAGTCTTCATTGATCCTGGATGACATTGAAGATAACTCTGGTATCCGACGCGGTCTACCGTCCGTCCACACGATATATGGCCAGGCCCAGGCAATCAACAGTGCAACATATATGTTTGTCCGGGCTGTGAGCCTCACCTCTTCAGGTTTAAGTCCCAAAGGACTGTCGTACCTCTTGGAAGGTCTCGAGCGTCTATTCGTTGGCCAAAGCTGGGACTTGTATTGGAAACACAATCTCATCTGCCCTTCGAAAGAGGAGTACTTGCAGATGGCAGATGGAAAGACGGGAAGCATGTTCAGAATGCTGGTTGAGCTGATGGAAGTCGAAAGCCTCACACCCTGTCCCCCTAAGACTGACAAGCTCATTTTCCTCCTGGGAAGATATTTCCAGATTAGGGACGACTATATGAACCTGGTTTCAAAAGAATACGCGGCTCAGAAGGGTACTTGTGAGGATCTCGAAGAGGGCAAGTTTTCCTTCCCAATCGTCGTTTGCATCGAGGATTGCCCTCCATCCAAGGGCAAGATCCTTGGTTTGTTTCGCCAGCATGCTGCTGGTCAAAAACAGCAGCCAATCGGGATGGGTGACGAGTGCAAGAATCTTATCATGCAGATTCTGAATGATGGAGGTGCTCTTGCTACAACCAAGAGCTATCTTTTAACATTAGAAGATAGCCTGAAGGAGGAGATCAGATGTCTGGAAGTGAAGACAGGGAAAACCAATAGCCTGTTGACGCTTCTGATTCAGACTCTGAGTCTCACTCAATAGCATGTAAATTATAAATTCATCCGTGTTGGCGACTTTCAACCAACTAATATCAGAGTTCCTGTGCAAAAGTGAATGGAGTTTTCCTGATCATGACTATTTACGCTTGATGCTAGGTGGTGGCAAGGTAGACCATGTAAGACCCTAACCTCAAACCACTAACAAATTCCCTGTAATTGTTCCATTTCTATCATCGCGATTTTGTTACAACATTTTTTCCAAAAATCTCTAGTCTATGCCCTCTGAAAAAACATGTTAAAGAATGATGAAGAAAAACTGCACCTCAAACCTTGCATCGATCCCCAAACTTAGTAATTGTTTTTTGTTCAACCTTCGTAGAGCTGGCAGTCCGGATCTTCCTCTGGAGGCGTGATTCCGTCTTCCGGGTGAAGCGCATGCCACTCACTAACAATCTTCCACGCCTCCTCAATATGCCAGTCTTTGGGAATGCCCTCCTTCAAGATGACGTACATGCGCCTTGCAAGGATAGCCTCGGGGGCAAAGGCAAAGCGCTTGTACTTCTCTGAAGCATTATCCATGAAAACTTGCTTAAGAATCTTTGCGTCTTCAGTAACGGGGACGATGTTCGCACATTCTTCCGTGTCAGCGTAGTCACTGTCCACATGTTCTTCTGTCCATAACCAGTACGGCGCCTTGTAGGCGACGAATTCGGGCGCCATGGTCGCAGAGTCCCAGTCAATGACGCCCGTGATCTGAACTTGGGTGTCGTTGCGGACCTCTGCAAGTAGATTGTATGGCATAAGATCTCGATCAGCCAATACGCATGGTCCGTTGAGGAAACCACGAGTATTGAGGGACTTGATGATTATACCGAAATTGTACCAAATCTCATTAAACGGCAGGCCGTCTTCTGTACAGTACTCGCTCCAGCGCCGACAAGTTTCAATGAGGTGCTCGAATGTGTCCTGGGGATGTTTGGACAAGTCGAAAGCCCGATCTCCGAGTTCTTCATGCTGCAAGTGGAGGCTCTCGACCTGGAGGCTCTTTGCATCCGAAGATAGAGCAGAAGGTGATATGTTGCCGCCTGGTCCCTCAACTGCAGCGATGATAGGAGCGAGTTGAGAGACTTGTTCGGCGACGCACTTCAACTGTTCCAAGTTCAGAGGGACATCTTTCGTCAAGGAAGAAAGGTTCTCGCCTGGAAGACGGTTCTGGATCATGTACGGCTTTCCAATAGTATTCTGGAATGTTAGGTCGTACCCTACTACCCGTGGAATGGGCAGTTGGACAAGCGCTCCAACAGTTTTAAGAATGGCGATATCGCGAGCCATGGTATCCATTGTGTTTTTGTTGATAAAGCGAGGAATTCGAACAACGTATGAGATTCCTGTATCCTCTGGTGTTTTGAACATCTGGAGGAGCCGAGTGGGAAGATAGGAGCTAAGCGTGGAGAAAACCCACTCAAGTTTGGTTCGTCTATGTCCTGGGGCGATGCTGACACCCGTTACTCGATTGTAAGAACCGCCACTCATATACTCTATTGTGACTTCAGAAACATCTTCGTGAAGAGCAGAGGCCACTGTGGCAATCTGGTGTCCAAAGAGTTCAAAGTGTTCGCTATCTGAAGGGTTGAGATCAGTAGGATTTGGAGTCATAATGACATATGACTTTGCAGCGAATTCAAACGTATTGATTGAAAGTAAAAGTTGATCTGAGTTGAGTTGAGAAAGTTGGTTGTGACTGTGAAGTTGAATTTCGTGGTATATCTAGGAAACTGGAAAACACATTGTGAATACAAAGTACAGGATTTCATTGTTCATCTACAAACAGAGTTCGCCCGCCAGCTACATAGTCTTATCTGTTCCGTGAGTACGGTGGAGAGACACTGTATCATTAATTGACAATGTTGTCCCGTTTTTCACTGAGGTGGTCTCATATAAATTTTGCAGCAATAAGTTCCCATAGACAATAGAATCCAAACACAACTCAAGCAACAAAGTTTTACAGAGTTCATAACAGAAATCAAGACTCAAACTTCCGATATTTACTGAAGACATCAATCAAAGTCTACCAAAGAATCATTCAAAATGTCACCACCTCCCAACGGAAAGACCAAGCATCACTGCCCTGGCAGAGATGGCTGGGTCGGGGATATTAGCCCGGGCAATTGCGTCCAGAGTGCTGATGGAACGCATTGTAAGACCCATGAAATCCCGTGCACACAAGGGTGTGGCAAGTACCATTTGGCAAGCCAAGAAGCCTGCAGAAAGTGTGTTGGAAAGAAGAGAGCTGATGAGCGCAGGGAACGAGCTGAACGGCAGAAGGCGAAGGAAGAGGAATCAAAGAAGAAGGATGATGGCTTCTTTAACCCGGGCAAGGAACGAAAGAAGCCTAAGAAGAAAGACCCAGATCCTGAGCCTGATGCCGGCGCAGCTTAATGCTAACGGTTCAGGACGCCTCGGTATTCGCAGCTCGTTATATAGAAGAAGGATAAAAAGGATATAAACCAGGCGGTGGAAGCCTCCTGTTGTCCATTCGATAGACAGTGATAAACCGAATAGAACATAAAATGATCCGTAAAATATTCAGTGCATATTGACTCTGATGTAGGGGTTTTCGCCTTGGATGAAGATGTCGGAGTTGATGCGGTGCTGGTCTGTCGTCTCCAGGCGCAGCTGGTGAGTGTATGATGAGTGGCTGTGGACCTGGCAGATATACCGGATGTGATATGTGAATGTAGAATTTGAGTTTTTTTCACTTGGAATTGTGTGTATATAGAGATTGCGGTGTAGTTCGAATTTAATGAGAATGTTTTGTTAATTTATATTGGTATCAAATATGGAGGGTTGAGGTAGTGGAAGACATGCTGATTCGTCAGTAGGTCTGTGTTTCAAAGTTTGGACTGTGTTGCGAGACAGAGTGCTAGATATTGCAGTTTGAATGAACAAAGAAAGAAGCAAAACAGCAAACTAGCTTTATGCGTATCATTTTGATGGTGGCCAGGATTATACGTGTTGTCCGGCCGTTGTGGTGGTAAATGGTACCCGGCGCGCAACTAGCCAATCACTGCTCTCGCAAGCGACTGCAACAATGCTCTACGTCATTGACATGGCCATCGACACAAGGTGTCGTGACTACGCGTTCTTTGCTCACCAAATGTGGCAAATGTCCTTCTTATAGCGTAGCAAACCAGTCTTAGATTTTGAGACACGCTCGTTCAACCGTACGTTTGCGCGTTTTACAATCCCGGTGCACTGCAGCAATCATCTACCCTGACGATCCACGATACTCTTTCAAGCAAGACATCATACAGTCATGAAGCGTGGAGCAATCGACTCGTTCTTTACGCGCCCGTCGCCCAAGAAACCAAAGTATCAAGCTAGCAAGGCCAAGTCGAGTCATGCTTCATATCCTTTTGCGATTCCACACCTACCAGAGGACTTTGCACAACAGCTGGGCTTTGCGCCTGCCGACGAGGGCAAAGTCATCAACGACCAGCTTGATTTGGATCTTGTCTACTACCAACCGTACATACCTTCCTCCATCGCTGGTGGCGTGTTTGAGTTTCTGCGGCAAGAACTCCCCTTTTACCGCATCATCTACAACATTACGCGCGGAGGAGTGCAGACACAAATCAACACTCCCAGATTCACTACCGTTTTCGGCGTCGACGATACATGTCGGTTTACTCCGGACGGAAAGATCATCGATGCCAAGACAAGCAAGCCGGTGGAGAAGAGCAGATACAAATGCGCACCAAGACCCATCCCGCAGTGCCTGGACGAGCTGAGAAAAGTGACCGAGGGGACGACGGGGGAGACGTTCAATTTCTGTCTCGTCAACTACTACGCACACGGCAAGGACAGCATATCCTACCATTCAGACGACGAGCGGTTTCTCGGCCCCAACCCAGCCATTGCATCTTTCAGCCTCGGTGCAAAGCGCGATTTCCTCATGAAGCACAAACCCATACCACCGAAAGATGGCGAGAAGATAGAAGAGCCCAAGGGTCTGAAGCTACCGCTGGGCTCAGGGGACATGATTCTTATGCGCGGTACCACACAAGCGAATTGGCTGCATAGTATACCAAAGCGTGCGGGGCCGGAGGCGGGCAAGGGGAGGATCAATATTACTTTCAGGAAGGCTATGGTGAAGGGGGGGACGGAGAATTACTATCAGTACAATGTTGGGTCTGGCGGGGTGTACAGATGGGATGCGAAGGCTGAGAAGATGATACAGCAGGAGATTGAGAAAGGCAACGATTGAATGGTTCGACTGTTGGCAAGGGGTTCGTGTCTGGGTTGGGCGTTGATGTAGTGTGGAAGCACACGTTGATGGACCTGTCATGCACTCGCATCAATCTCTCTGTTCTGCGGTGACTACCTGTCCGTCTCTCGTTCGTCTCTTGTCCGGTTGATATGGTTGCATCTGGATGGACTGGCGTGCTGCTGCGACTTTTGTGATTACGCAGCAGCCTAGGCTGGGGCAGGCAAGTCATGGCTCGAGCGTGAGCCAAGTCAACCCCGCTCTCGGGACTGTCGCGGCCACAGAAAGTATAAATTATGGACATGAAGAAGGGATCCGTGGCATTAGAGCAGAGCGCTGCGGAAAAAAGACTGGATTATGAGTGAGTCAGAGCCGCGCATCAAAGTAATCATGTCATGCGCATGGATGCCTGAGGGTGCGGTGGCGACGAACGCGTGCATCGTGCAGGCCAGCTTGGCGGGCATTGAATGAGGGTGGTCGGAGTTAAAGGCCGCCTAATTCTCCCAATGCCTCGACAGGTTTCCCGCCCACAACACAACACAACACCCACCACTTGTCTCTTGCTAGGCCGGTATTCTCCACGTCAATCGAGTCGCCAAGCCCAGGCCCGTGGTCGCAATCGTACAGTCGGGCGCTCTGGATAAGTGCAGCGCGCCATCTTGTCGTGGGTGCGATCAAAGGGAGCTCTGGTAGGGCGCAGCAGGAGCTGGTTGAGAAGGGTACGAATCGGTGCAATGCTTCGTCACGATACGCCTGCTGAGACAAGATAGGCAGTATTAGCAACAACACTTGGATACATCGGTGCCTTGCGATACCTCGATCATCAGAGCCCTAGCCAGCAGCTTGCACCCGCTTCGTCTGTCTAGCCCGCAAACAAGAGCGCTGCACGCTGTGGCTCGACACTAGACGCATCCACCCCACGACGGATGTTCATGGTTTCTGGGCATACATATTCGACCTAGAGGAGGCGGACTTCGGGGCGGAAAGCATAGGCTGTGTTGTGCTTGATACGCAGAATCAGCGGGAAAAGACGCAAGCAGTCGCAAAGAGGTCACCGCCAGGGCATCAAGCCATTTGAATCCCGGACTGCAGTCGTCACATCCCTTGGCGCCTGGAGATAGGCTCACCTCCGAAAGATTTAAGACCTGGCTAACCCGCGCTCGCATAATTCTCCACCTGGGCACTCTTTCACGCCCTCCTATCTGCGCAGTGCTTACTCGCGACAACGCCAATCTGCACCAGACGATCCAGAACCTCAGCTCTGCAGCTCAGGCGACCCACGAAAGCGTGAGATTTCATCATACCTTCACCTCGGCGATAAGCCCTTAAGCCCGCTCTCTCCACCCAACACCACACGTGCGACTGCAGCCCAGCATGCCGCCCACACCACCCTCGACAAATTCTTCGAGCGCCGGCCATTCGCCGCCAGATCCACAATTTCGCGTCGTACGAAAAAGGAACCGAGTCCCGTTGTCATGCGGGGCCTGTAGACATAGAAAGTAGGCATGCCTTGTAGGAAGCCATTGCGCTGTACCCAACGCTGACGCTTGTAGGCTGAAATGCAACCGTGGACATCCCTGCGATAACTGCACCAAGCGTGGAGATACGGCATCATGTACGTATGCTGCACCAAGCAACCGCAAGAAGAGCTCCTCAAGCACTAGTTCTGCGACGACCCCTGATGACATGCAAAACCGCATTGACCGTCTAGAAGGACTTGTCCTCTCTTTGATGACCAATGGCGCACAGAGCGCTGGCCCGGCTGCCGCTCATGCTGCCATCGCCAGTAGCCTCAACGGTGGAGCCTCGGATCCGCCATTCAATGTTGGTCAATATAGCACTGCCATGAGCACTGGCGCATCCGAGTCGATTCCCGAGGAAGATGTGGAAGAAGAAAGCGAAATGGAGAACGTCACAAAATCGATTGGCGTCATGAAGGTACACAACAACCAGACCGTGTTTGCTTCAGAGGCACATTGGTATGCCATCTTGGGGGAGCTATCCGAGGTCAAAAACTACTTTGCAGAGCACAAGAAGCAGTACGAAGATCAGCTCAAGAGGTACAGAGCAACACACATCGGAGACCGGCCTCCAGGGACATCTTTTCTCATGGGTGGACAGAAGCCCTGCTCTAAAGCTGAAGTTTTGTCACGCTTTCCTCCGAAACCAACGGCCGACCTTCTTGTGTCGCGATTCTTCAATACCTACGACCCTGGCATGCACATCATTCACGGACCGTCTTTTCAAAAAGAATACGATCGACATTGGTTGCAGCCAGAAGAGACGCCGGTCATCTGGCTTGGTCTTGTTTTCTCCATGATGTGCATCGCACTGCAGTCTTACACTCGGGCTGGAGACGAGCCACCAGAGTACCATAATAAGTCTTGGGAGATGTCAAGAGAGTATGGTGATCTAACCGCGCAATGTCTGACTTTGGCCGACATCACACAGCCCATTACTGGCATGATGGAGACGCTAATATTACATGTGCATGCTGAGTATGCTCGAAGCAGAGACGCCGAAGTAGGCATTCTTATCGGTACTGGCATAATCGTACGGCTAGCCATGCGCATGGGACTTCATCGAGACCCTGGGCCATATCCTGGTATTCCGGTATTCCAAGGCGAAATGCGAAGACGTATTTGGGCAGTTGTGCGTTCACTCGATTTGCTGTTCTCTGCCCAGGCTGGTCTACCCCCTATTATCAGACCGCGAGACACCAACACGGAGATTCCGAGAAATCTCTACGACGACGAGCTCCATGAAGACATGAAGGTTCTTCCGCCATCCAGACCCGAGACGGAAGCGACTCCCACTCTTTTCCTCATCAACCGAACTCGTCTCATCTACAAGCTCGGTGAAGCTGTTGAGTGCACAGACACTTTGACCTGCGCATCGTATGACGAGGTAATGAGGCTGGATTCGGAGGCTCGTGAATTGCATGAGAACATCTCGCCCCATCTCAAGATGCGCGGTATGGACGAGTCAGCACGAGATCCCTCAACTTTGATCATGCAACGCTTTACATTGGACCTGCTCTTCCTGAAGATTATTTGTGTACTGCATCGGAAGTACCTGGCTTACGGCAGAGTACAGTCGCGATTCTGCTATTCGAGAAAGGCCGTTATCGAAGCATCGTTGATGCTCCTGAAGCACCAAGCAACCCTGCATAGGGAATGCCAGGCTGGCGGTCGGTTAAGGAACGTGAAATGGTTCATCTCATCCCTGACAACCGTCGACTTCCTCCTCGCTGCGATGATTGTATCCTCAGATCTCTACCACACCACGGCACAATCCACTCCTCGGTCTCCATCTTCGACAGATACAATGTGTTGGAGTTCGGACCGGGTTGATGAGATGCTAGACGCGATCCAGATAGCAGTCGGCATTTGGGATGGTCTCAAGGACAACTCCATGGAAGCATACAAAGCGCACGCGACTCTCAGCGTCATGTTGGAACAGCTGAAGAAACATCGGGCGACGAAGCAAGCACCAAATGGATTCCAAGCAGCTTCGTCAACATACCCAATCACACAAATGGAGGATGCAAACGTTGCTCCAGAACATTCAGCAGCGATGACATTGGGCTTACTCAGCACAGGTGGCATGACACCTAATGCGAACATGTTTGATCAACGATACCCAGCAGGCATGGCCAATCTCTTGAACGACCCAGTTTCTCAGCCATCTACAGGCTTGACACCTCAGTACAACCAGCCTATGGGCGGTCCCACAGGGGCTGAGAACGTACCGAGTCCCTTTTCCAACCTATTTGGAGCGAACCTCTTCCACAATCTGGACCTACCACCAACTGACAATATCAACTGGGTATGCTAGGCTAATCTCTGGGGAAATTTACAGTTGCTAATATTTGACAGGACGCATGGGACTCGTACATTCAAGGTCCCGGCATTGAAACTACCAACAACTTTTTCCAGATGGATCTGGGCAACATGCCAATGCAGACGGAACAGAATGGAGCGCCGTCAACAGGACAAACACTCAACCAGCAGTCTACAGCAAGTCAGACAAACATGTTTGCGCAAGATGTCTATATGGGCGTGAGTATGGCCGAATAGATACCCGTAATCAAGACCATGCATTAACAGCAGCCTAGGCTGACGCGAAACCGGGACCCGGCGAAGGCTACGTCGGCGGCTTCCGAATGCCAAAGTCCAATTAAAAAAAAATCAATGCACACAAATCAGCCCATATCTAACGCGTCATGACCTCTGTTGTACAACGTATGTTACCCTTTTTGTGTTCCATCCAGCTAAACTTGTTTGGTGTTTTGTGCGCGCAAGGGCGGCCCTGGGGGCCAAAATCTCCATAGTAGTTAGTAGCTGTATTTAGAAACCCATGTATCATGTCCAGCTGAGTCTTGGAAGGAAGGGGGCGCAGCACAAGAAATCTCGTGTGCCCTCATGCTGACTACCTATTCATCTCGTCAGCCTCTTCTTCGTGACAAGGCTACTAATCTCTCTTCTTTCACTCTCCCCTCCTTCTCCTCTTATTTTCCTGGTTGGAAAAGTCGCGCAGCTTCTTTCGGAACGTACCACTACTGATCTTCAGCTTCGAACTACGTACCTTTCTTCCATCCCACTCTTGCCCCGCCCACCTGCGCCACGCTACGAACCCCCGCACCCCCGCCATCCCACCTACCTAACCTACCCACCGAATCCCGAGCATCGCGGCCTTGTACCTACCTTGCCATATCCCCACATACACTTCGAACCCCGAGATCCATACATACACGTAGCTTTCGCGCCATCGCTATAATCGGACTGAGTCGAACATGACTACGGGTAGTAGTACGTCGCAAGCAACGTCGTCGACGACGACGACGCCTTTGGCCTCGCATACCCTCGTCCCCACCGATGCACCGGCTATCAACTCGCAGCCCGTCGAGTTGGATGCTAGCGCGTGCGTTTCGGCTGAGGAGGTGAGCAGGAGGAGGAGAGGGAGTGAGATGGGGGTCGTTGCAGGGGGGAGGAGGGGGAGCGAGGTATGAATCTTTTTTTCCTTTCTTCCTTCCTTTCTTCATTCACATCTCTCGCTTGCCATTTCGGATTTTTGTTTGTAGTAATTTTGGCGTGCTGGGGGGGGGGCAGAGTGATAATGGAGAAGCTAACGGTGGTGAATATAGAAGAGAGACGAGATTGTTGCGCAGAGAAAGGGGGATCCGGGGGTGATTGTTGATGTGCCGGGGGGACTGACGGCTGAGGAGGTGGAGGCTGTGGGGAAAGTAGTTCGGTGATTTTTGATTCTAGTTCTCTTTTTTTTTTTGTTCCTTTGCACTCTGGTGGTAGTAGAGGTAGGGGAAAAGAGGGTTTCTGATAAAGACTTTGCGTTGTTGTCCCTTAGTAGTAGTAAAAAAGTGGGATGTTTTTTTTTAAATATATACATATACAAAATAGGAAGACATGTTGTGCGCTGAATGGGGGCAGCAAGTGGTGGGAAATGCGGAGGATTTTTTTATTTACAATCCGTACCCCCGTATACAAACTTTCCGTCACTATTCTCGCACCCGCATGTGCCATCGCGGGGACTACGGATACATCCCATCCCCTCGCCATCCTCCTCACCCCGCACGCCCGCTGCGTCCCAGAAAAAAGTAAACGTATCTTTACGCGCCGTCATCTTGGATCCCGGGGCGCAGTTGTAGGCTTCGCATGTGCCGTACGGGGCGCCGTGGGACTTGTCGTATTGGTGGTCGATAGTGAAGACGGCAAAGGTTTGCTTGCTGAGGCGCGTGTTGTGGCTGCATTCCGCGGCCTGGATAGCTTTGCTTACTTTTCCGGCTGGGAGAGAGGTGGGTTAGCCGGATGTGATGGAGGGAGAAGAGGAAAGGTAGACGTACGTTTGCAGGCTGGGGCGGCCGGATAGGTGGCGTTTGAGTGTGAGGTTGCTGGGTCGAGGGTTGCTGTTATGCCGGTTGCGAGGGCGAGGAGTGCGATGAGAATTGGTTTGAACATGGCGAAGATTTTTGTTATTTACTTTTCTTAACTACGTGATATTGGCGGTGATGAGTTATTTTGGTGGTCCAAACGAGCGTCGTGCTTTGGGTGTAGCGAAATGTCGTCGTCCTCAAGTATAAGTACATCCCCCCTTGAGCATTGACCCTGGCATTCTCCGCGATCTCTTTTTATACACATCTCATAAGAAGGACTGCCGATGATCCACATGGAGCCCGCAAGTAAGGTGTGCACGTTGCGCAAATGGCATGTTTCGAAACGATGAAACAGCGCTAGACAGGGTGGGACGGCTGGCCTTTGGAGGTGGAGTGTTTTGACATACGAGGTTCTAGAATGATACAAAGACGGCTTGCGTCAGCGTGGTCCCTGCGGATATTACAATGAATCAAGCTTTTTTGATTAGTACAGGGTATGAACAGAGTTTAGAGGAACGGTCAGACTTGTTAAATGTGTGAAACGTTAAAGGTGAAGGAAAGACTTGTGGGGTGGCTGGGTACCAGCCACCTAATATTCTCACCTATATATACTCGCGCTCTAACTACCTTAGTTAGC